GTTAGAGGGTTTTTCATCTTGTTGAAGAGCAGCATAAGAAAATATATCCTTAGTAATTGCCTCATGATGGAAGAAAGGAAATAATTTCAGAAGAAGCATTGCACTGTTGGCTGCATTGGTCTTATGAGAATCATCAGATTTGGCCCTTTGTTGAATTTCTTGGTATGATAGTTCCCAAGTTCCATAGACACTTCTGTTATACTTAGAAGCTCCAGTAAATTCAGAATGTGTCAATAATGTTTTTCGATGCTCAAAATATTTTGCAAGATAGTTTCCAATAGTGGTGGCTCCAGAAGCAATGTATGCACCAGCCTGATCAATTGCCAGAGGAAGGTATGAGAGCTCCTTCACAATCTTAAAAGCTTCAGTTTGAAACTCCATTGAACATAGGTCCAAGCAACTAGCTTTTAGAAGTAATTTAATAGCATCATCCTGTTTCATCTCAGTTACTTCAAGAGAATTCTCAGGTGAAGTCAGAATCCTCATGGTGGAGTTGCGGCTAGTTATGAGAATGTTTCCCCCTCTTCCAGGTGGAAGATAAGCCTCCAGCTCAGCAGGTGATAAAAAATCAGCATTGTCAAAGACCATCACATAGTTCTCTTTCAGCAAGCCAATCCAGTGAAGAGCAGATTCAGGTGAGCCATCCAGTCCACTAGACTGGGCTGCAGGAAGATTACAGATACCCTTGAGTCCCTGAGTGATGGTGCCAACTGAGGAAGCATCAATCCAGAAAACAGAAGAGAAACTAAAAGCAACTAAAATTTCAGAAATAAAGGTCAGATCTGCCATGACACTCACCAGCCAGACATTTCCTCAATGAACTTCAAGCAAATCTGAGTCTTTCCAATACCCCCCATTCCATACAACAGAAAGAACTTTCGCATCTGAGCTGAGTCATTTGTGTTGAAAAAATGCCTCTTGAGTTTGGTGATGACTTGTGTGCGGCCTGTGAACCTATTGCTCGAATTTGGCATGAGGGGAATGACCCCATCGGACACCCTGCCGCCATAATTGATGTTGATCTGCAAGACATTCAATGCCATCGGCTTGCATGGAGGATAAACATTCCACTCACAGTCTGAGCTTCATTGAATGTGTTGCCGCTAGCGACAAACTGACGAGCGCCCGCAAAACTCATGTTGAGATGTCGAGGGTTGAGAGGTTCGGGATGAGGGAAAGGAAGGAAAGGAGAGCGCCCTGATGCTAGGAGACCCCGGGAACGTGTGTTTTGGTCTATTTTTATGTACCTTACGCACGTGTAAGCCTGGGCTTTTCCAACTCCTCTTGAAGGCTCTTCTTCGTTTTTGCCCTCCTAGTGTGACCCTATATCGAGGTAAGTGAGTTCGCCTTCGTTTGAACACGTTCATACCTGCTCCAGGATGGAGGTGCTGCACCGTAGCTCAGCGTGTCGTGTTCAAGTGCCGATATGTCTGCTTCCTAAAGTCCTTGCGTTGGCCGTCAAGTTGGTCAGAACGTCAAGTGGGTTCCTATTCTAAACCGGTGGTAGCGATCGACTGTTTACACAGTTGGCTGTATAGTGTATTCCCCGCACACCCAAGTTTTCCTAAAACGACCGTCAATGAAAAACTAACGCTCCTGCAATCCTATGTGCCCCAACCACTTTTAGCAGGGGCAACAAGTCTCCTACCTCCCCATCTCAACTTCCTCTCTACCAATTCTTGCTGCAAAACCCCACTACCTTATTGACCCTTTCACGGTCTTTCTGGATTAGGTCGATCATTGGGACGGCCATTCAGATGCCATGTATGCCTCCTCGTTTCAGCGCATTGTAAAAGCGACGGATCGAGGATCTTGTCTCGTCACGGTTCAATATCCACGAGCGGATATCGTGGAGAAGGTTCAGACGAGTCTTCCTAAGCGCTGAACGATCATGGTACCCGAACCGCTCACCCGATTTCTCTTCGATGTTGCCTCTCCCGAACCCCAATGTCAGGGTGAACACCTTCCTCGTGGAGGGGAAGATTTGATTTGTTCGCTCACATCGGCGCCTGGAAAAGAAGGAGAATGAAGTGCCCTGAGGGGCGGAGAGGATCACATTGAGTTCGTACTCGCTGACCTGGCTCCCGATCGTCAACACCGCTTCAGCGATCGTGCGGACGAGGGGCGATGGCGCCATGTACAGGGGAAAAGGACGAGAGAGGCAACAGCTGGCCGACTTCGATACGATACGACTCGGCATCCTGAATGGATGGGGGCGCCTCTATGGCTTTCAGGAACGCGATTGTGGGGGAGAGGAGTGTGCAGAGGTGGTGGTGGGGTAGTTCTGTCGCAGGCGGAACGATAGAAGACTACTATGGAAGAACCTCCAGTGCGCGAGGCCGGAGTCGGTGGAGGGGTATAGGTGAGATATTGAAGGCCATGTGATGGGCATCCAACAACGCCACCACCCCCCACCCAAATCTTAAACCGCCCGACCTCCTCACCCACCCAAGGAACCTATGGGTAATCACAACTGCTGCCTGTCCCTCTAACACCACCGCCCTCAGTCAAAGGGCTGTAAACCGACGTGCTGCGAATTCTTTTTCCTTCTCCGGAGTTCCTGGCGAGGACCAGGTTCGCGGGCCAAGGGAGAAGAGGACCCCTCCCAGCACCGAGCGATGTGCCACTTTTGCACTTCCCTCCTCCTCTTTTACCTGTCCACCTCAGTCGGCTCTTTCCATCTGAGCTCATCGTCCCCCAACCCCCCATCCTCTCACTCCCTCCCTTGAAGGGAAACAAAATCCCCTCCAAAGCCTGTAACGGCCGCCCCCCAAACTGTCATGCCTGGATGACGACGCGGGAAAGCGTCGAATATTTCCGACACGACGCCGATCTGGGCTAATGGATGAGTAGGAGGGAGAATCAAGTCGACCAAGAAATTGAATTGTAGGCCGCCGAGCTGCAGCCAAGTCATAGGCAGAGAGTGAGGGACGGATTTGACACAGGCTTAAGGGCGATGCAGAGCTGAACGAAGGAAATGGTTCATTAGTGCAGGAGGCTGATCCACTGCTTGACGAGTCGAAGAACCCAGGGAGCGAGCCCGTGTTCTTGATTAGGATAAGGAGGCATTGGCGGCCGAGCTGTGTTCTCTGAAGGCATGCTATACTCTTCTCGCGCAGGAGAAGGCGGAGCGGGACGAGGAGGTTCGGCTAGGCCATGAAGACAAGGAGGACCTCGCCGCTGAGCCGCAAGCTCTCGAGCGGAGAAGGAGGAATTGAGGGACGAAGTGGTGGAAAACAGACAACAGCCGCTCTGGATGAGGAGAAATGTGGTCGAACGACAGATATGGCAACTCCAGACTGAGATCGATACTAGGGACGAGGAGTAGCAGTGACAACTGGGGAGCGTGGACGTTGGAGAGAGCCAGGTTTACGTCGATCACCATGTTCGCGAAGCTCCTGACGCCACCATACGATTACGCAGCTCAAGCCTGTTCGACGTATTCCCTTCCCCTTTAAGCATTAAGGGGCCGTGAATACGAAGACCCAACGTTTGTTTCCAGGTTCGTCTCAACAGCCTTCTCGGAAGAACGTTGAACGCTCAGACGAACGAAAGACCAAGGGGTGGAGAGGACCGTGTTGGATTTGTGCGCAAAGGGGCAGCGCACGGCTGAGATGCATCTGCGGCCTGTCGTCTATCGAGGAGATTGCGTGGTGTGACACTTTCCTTAGTCTGGGGGATGTGTCTGCCGAGAGTGGAGTTTTTGCGAAACCTGGTTGGATGCGAGAGGATGTGAGAGGGAGCCATGTAGTGATGGAGTGGAAAGAGACAAGTGTTGGCGGTGTATCTTCTGCCACGATCTCTTGCCGATACGCATACTTCTGCTCCCGGGTTTAGACAGAGGCACCTGAGGTGTCGTTTTCTTATTACATTTTGATGTCGTGTAGTCTTAGAGGTTTTCATGAAAGTTATGAGTGTGGCAACAAAATGATCACGTGCTGGAGTACATTTCCTTCAAAGTTCACAGAAATTCTCGAGCTCCTCATCGACGTGCTGGCCGTCTTGCTGCCGTCACCTCCGCTACACACCTCGTGGACCTCACAATCTTGAATAACATCTGTGCCAGCTCCTTGCCCTCAAGATGATTTCGCCACATGAAGCCGGGCTCCTCTGAGCTGCTAACCAGCCTGACGAGTCTCTTTGCCCATATCTCGAACCTGCAAACCCGGGCCCTACGCGGCGGACTACGTCAGAGTCGTCCAGAGACATCCAACTCGCACCCGTCGCATCCGACGTCCTGTCAACTCTGCGGCTTCCCTTTCATTGGCGTTACGCCGCGAGCTCACTACGCTTTTTCAATCTTACCGGGAATTCTGTTGGATGACATCCACTGGCAGGGCGGCGTTCGGATTCAGTACCCTTGCATGAGTCTTGGACTGGCGACCCCCTCGACAGGAAGTTTGCGCGTCTTTACTTTCCACCTCTTGGGCTCCATTTCTTGGAACAGCGCCTTCTTTCGCAAGGAAAATGAGGCCGCTCGATACATACCTCCACCCTCAGGCCTCAACGACATCGTTGTCATCGAGGGTAAGATCTATCAGAGAAACCCCTATGTTTCGAACTTCGAAGGAACCTTCCGATGAGCAGATGAAATTGCTTGCTTGCCCGCTTTTTGGTGACGCCTGGTGACGCTTACATAGACATTGACTGGGGTCTCTTACTCTATGAACGGATGTAGGCGCTATGGCTCCACAGAACCAACACTTTGAACTCTACCTGTGGGCTTTTCGGCTAGATAAGCGCTGAGGCTATCTGGTGTTCTACGAGATGAGACGAAATTCAGCTTTATGATTGCCGACCGACCCAGATACGCAGAGCCTGATACGAACTATGACGATAAGTACCTCACAGCCTGATGAAAGTCATCTCACACTCCTCCGTCTTCAGACTCGAAAGTATCTCGGAAATGCGAGCTGCGAAGTATCTTCACCGCCTTCGTGAGTCCTCTTGGCTTAAGCTCAAGTTCATTGCCGGTCGGCTAGTTTATCGTATTGCCGTCATCAGATCCCTTGCTCGAAGCTGCTCGAACGGCCCGAGTTCATGTATCCTGTGATATCGACGTTAAAAGTTAACGACGACGATATCTTTGCGCGACCCGAGCTCTGATAGTATATGTAGATACCCTCTGATACCATTTTCATAATCAAATAGTGGCTGAACAGACAATTCGAGGAAGTAGACGCACATACCGGCCCGGATTACAACTTTCAATCATAGTCCGCGATTTGATTTGCCTGCGTGCCTTTGAAAATGAAACACTCAAGCCGTCCCAAGGCTATCCGCTTACCGCCGGGCTAGAGTAATTATCATGAGGTTGTTGAGGTTGTCTGCATATCCCCTTATGTCCGAAACGGCGGTCGAGAAAAAAGCACTTGACCTCGGTCATTCGAGGGTCGACGCCTCGACATTTTCTTGCAAGTCCGTAAAGCTTGAATTTCAACTTGTATGACGTCGACGTGGAATCCGCCGAGAAATGTAGATGGATCTACATAGCGAATAATGGGGTGTTTGTCAATGGGATAAATTTTGTCCTCGAGGTTTGGAGCGAATGGTTATTGAGTCCGACGTTCAGAGACAAGGGTGGGTCCCATAATACCCTATTATGAACGAGATTTGATTTTGGGCATTTGGTGATTTGGAACGGTCTTTGGCGTTGCGATATCTCGTGCTTGCGCATCTTGGACGCGTTCGAAGAAGGCTGTTAGCTGCGGTAGATCCGTGCGGCTGTGGGCGGTTGGGATGAGACGACGGGGCCGGTCACAATCAGCGGAAGAGCGGAACGAACGTGCGGTTTCCATTTGTTTTCTTGCAGCTTTCACAAAGAGATAAATGTGTCCTAATTCATTCATTTAGAAGAGCGAGAGACGGCGATTTCCGTGCATGAAGATAAAAGAGGGGTTGGAAATGGTTGTTGAGGGATCAGCTGACCTTTGTGGAGCCTTTGTTTCCAAGTCGTGTTTGATGAGGAATAAGTGAAGGTGCTTCGAGTGTTCTTGACCGAAGCTTGGACCATGCAGAGTTTGGTTGTAAGGTGCAGTGAACGGGTACGTACACCTGATTGTAAGACAATAGTTGAAAGACATGGGATTCAAGGTACATGCATGACGCACTGTTCACGGAATATCTTACATTATCACATCTGTTTCTCGAGCCCTGAACTCATTTCGTTGCATTCATAAAGCTGCGACGGGTGAGGAAAACACATGTCGGATCGTCAGTGGCTGGTTCGGGTGACTGGGCATTGGGCAAAGACGCTTTCTACAGATCAAAAGAATATCTTTAGAATGGAGGTGTATTGAGGTGCTATCGACGCAAAAGGATTCGAAACGATGGCGCAATCATGGTGTCGATCAGGTACAAGATGTAGAATTTTGAGTGGGAGCCCGATTTGGCCAAGATCTAGATCACGTGTTTTATCAATTATCACATGCGAAACTGAACATGTCCAGGGGGGTATTAAAAGTGAATGAGCGAAAACGTTCTTATCAGCTCGCTCCCCTTTTTGCACCACCACCACCATCACCACCACCACCGCCCAACGTCGTTCACAATGTCCACGACCGCCACAGAGACCCAGAACAATTCACCAGAAATCACCATCTTGACACGCTTCGGCTCTATCCCTCTCGTCTCTGGTTCGCTGGACTCCATTAACAAAGCCCTGACGACCAACTCTTACACGCGTACTCCTTATAACACCGCGAAGGAGCTTTCTATCACCGCATATAAGTATACCGAGCCCATTCAGGTTCGCCTTGCGCCTCTCATCGTACGTGCGGACGTACTCGCCAACAAGGCTGTTGACGCTGTCGAAGCGCGTTACCCTTACCCCTTCATTGCCAAGCCTGAGGAGGTTGCCACTTATGTTCATGAGCGCCGCCAGAGCGTGACTGACTACTATAACGGCACCGTCGACGGTGTCACCAAGGTTGTTGACGAACGGGTCAGGAGCCCAGCAGTGCAAGCCGCTCAGGGGCTGGACCAGGTGAGTCATTTGCGCCAGTTTGAGATTACAGCGCCCTTAATGCGTTTTGTATTCAGCGCTTCGCTCCCATCGTTGATTACTTTGAAAACCGACTTGGAAACTCTTCGGAGGCTGGTCCATCGAACCCCGATACTAAGTATCAGTACCAGCGAGCCCTCGCTCTTTCCCAGACGGTCAAGGACAACATCTACACCTACTCTGCGGAGCAGATAAAACAACTTCAGGCGCAGTCAGTTCTCGCGTATGTTTCAATTATCTCTTTTTCGTCGTCTGAGACTCACATCCTCATCAGTCAACGGGCAACCGACACCGCACAGTCCATCACCACTCTCGCCTCTTCTTCCATCTCATCCGCTCAGTCCCGTATCCATTCCCTGTCCGACAACATGGTTTCTGAACTTCAGAAACTGCAGTCGTCGACCGCCTCATTCGCTTCGAGCTTCCAAAACACCCTCCAATCTTCCGCCTCCCAGCTCCACGCCATCCAACCTCAGATTCAACAGACGTATAGCGAGCTCGCGACATCCCTCACATCAACGGCGAATGAACTGGCGAACATCATCAAGCAGAAGGACCTCCCCGTTCAGGAGAAGGTCAGTCGCGTCAGCAAGGAAGTCCGCGACAGTGTCACGCCGTTGCTCGAGGCCGTCAGGAAGGGCGTATCCGATTTGCTTGCTCGTGGCAAGGCTCAGGCATCTGAAGCGGCGGAGGCGACACAGAAGGGTCAGGCATCTAAATCATCCAAATCGTCCAAACCGACTACCAACGGCATCAACGGGCCAAATGGGCACGCTTCGGAAGCGGAGTAGAGTCTTTGTATATGCGTATGATTCTTTCTGATTCTTCATTTCCCGCCTTCTGGTTCATGTCATTTCACTGGCCTCGTTATCGCATCCCTCCTAGAATGTACAAACCCATAGACGCTTCGTAACTATCACGCTCATTTTTCCAAGAACTCCCCTTCCCTCAGCGCACCCCATGTACATACGATGTTTTTAGACGCATACATTCACATAAAATAACAATGAATGTATTCACTGGTACAATCGAAATTCCTTATCTCAGAAACAATCGCCGAGTCCTCAGATTCGCTCAGATCTCTGACGTCAGTAATGATGCGATTCTCGTCCTTATCACGAACGTTGTTCTCAGCCTGAGAACGGTGGGGCGTCTTTTGTATACGACTCACTGCCTAAGTATGGCGTCAAACACGACGTAAATTCGAACATCATGTGGCGGATGGTTATATTGCTGCCAAAGGGGGATGTATCGCGACATCATGACATATGAAGGAAATTTAAAATGGTGAAGGAGCACCAATTGAAATATTGAAGGCTCGGGGCGGCGACAAATATTGGCGGACTCCGAGGATAAAGCGGCGTATTTTTGGCTTTTTTGGGACGCAAATTCATCTCGATATTACTGTACTAATACGACCAAGTCCTCGGGCCCCATAGGGCGTGACATATTTTCACCATCTCTTCGCCGCTTCAACAGCCGATGTGATGCGTGACGAAGAGTGTGATGGCTTCGGCGCTTCTGCAATTGGTTGTTGAGGATGGCGTTCATGCCAACTTTTCAACGAGCCAGACCAGGCTTTCGTGCCAATGGGACAAGATGGAGTCATACCGGCAACTGAAGCAGAAGAGACTCTTATTGAAGAGGTTGAAGGCCAAGTACTCGACCCCACCACAGCCGTGGAGCGGGAAGGCCGAGGCCAATGTAAGAAAATCAAGAACAGGTTGTACACGCAAGGAAACCTCAGATGGTGGGACATCTCCCATTAGAAAGTAGATAATATATACACCGTGTCGTTTACATGCCTATGGGCGCCGCAGGCGCCAGAAAAATCAGCCATTTTAGAATAGGAAAAAATGACTTCGAAAACCGGGGTGATGTGTGACATCACCCTCACTTCACTTCCTTCGATGACCTCTGTGATGCGTGATGCGAAGTCATGGTCGTATTAGTACAGTAGTTGGATATTAGCAAACCGACGCGTCAAGAATTTGACGCGTCTGATATGTCATATCACGTGCTTGACGTGTCTCGCAAGTATTCCTGTGTCACTCGTTGTTGACTCGTTGTTTCAAAGGGCATCTTTCGACGTTGACATGAATTCTTCTGGAAAGTCCCCGTTCTTGACTGGCGTTGGAAAGCTCCTCTCTGAAGGCCCATTCGAGCTCCTCATTTACATCCAACTGTTCTTGGATCCAGTCGACATCCTTGCCTTGCGCTTCGTGAGTGTCTGTCTCTACGACTCACTTCGTGAAAAGGTTGTGCCCTAAGTGTTGTTTTTTTAGACATGTAAACACCTTTCTGGCGCCACTAGGTCGCGTACTGTGTGGATGAATGCCGTTCGGAACGTCAGCATCGCACAGGGCGTGTTTTTGCCCAGTTTTCCGGTGGAACAGATGTCGCTTGATGGACTGGAACATGCAGCTCTCTCCCCTCGTCGATTACGGGATCTTGTTCAGAAGGCCGAAAAAAACACGCCCTTCCTCACTCGCCTGTTTACTCCCCAACTGCATTGTGCTGACCTTGAGCCGAACTCGATACTTACAGTCAACCTCGTGCCTGGTGGTAGATTCCTCTTCACCTCAAACCGGAAGGGTGAGCTCCACCTTTGGGATATAGGCTACAATGCTGGAGGAAATATGAAAACATTCCCTGTTGCCACTTTGGGAGGCTCTGAAAGATGGCGCAACCGCCGCGTTGACCATACTAGACCCGCATCAAACTCAGACTCTCTATACCTCTTCACAAGTGAGCAGAGTGGTGTCCTCTCAGGTTATCGGGATGACATGTAAGCCATTGCTTCTAAGTATTTCGCATCAACGTCGACCAAAATTGATTTCTCCAAAAGGATGGCATGCTATGAGATATACCCGGCTTCCGAGGACCCACATTTCAGCCGACTAGGCACCTTGAGCATTTATAATGTGAACCAGACAACCAGTTCCAAAGATTCTTTGGTTTGTTATCAAAATCGAGATTCAGTCTTCACAGTCTGGAAGTACACGGCGCAAGGGCTTGGTGTCTGTTGGATTTTTTGTCAAGATGATGATCGAGGTGACTTTTATGGGGTACTTCCGTTATCCGTCCGATTCCGAGTGCAAATTCTCATTCCATTGCCTGTAGATGTTCATTTGCGATGGCAATCTGATCACATTCCATACTGAATTTTTTTGCTTGTGGACCATACCTGACCTGACACCGTTGATCAACGGCGAAGCGACGTTGATTGACTCCGAGTCGTTTGAACCGAAGCTTCGTCTGGCATACCTCTCTGTAGATGGAGGTTGGCTAAAGGTAGCTCTGCCCTCATGCTGGCTCCCAGAATCTGCTCAGAAGCAGTTTGGCGTCTATCATGATAAAAATACAATCATGGCACACTACGAAGTCAAATCTATTGATGCTTTGCAGGAGCTCGGTCTGCCAAATATCCTCCCCATACATTCCGGCTCCGTCCTATCTTCCCAAAATCCTTTTTGCCGTGACATGGCCGATCTACGGCCATTCCACATAACAGAAGATGGATTCCTTCAAACATGGTCAACATGGGGAAGGATCACCTTTGGCATCCTTTCGAAACCTAGCCCAAATAATCCCACTTACTCCTACGCTAAAACTTCCATTTGGATGGGATCAGGGAGGGCTGTACAACATGATTTTTGTCCAATGGCGGGACGACTCGTCGTCCGTGTCTTGAGCTCAGCGAGTGGTCCTGAGATCCAGATTGTAGACTTTATCCCTCCCATGTCTTTCTCGAACGCGGCATCAGTTTCCTAACATTTTTACGTGACTGTGACCCTTGATCCAATCGTTGAAGCCAAGCTGAAGCAACACTGTTTAAAGTACTGTTCAGAGAAACCACCTTCAATGCATCCTGCAATTTTCTTGCGGTGTTGAACAGTGTAGTTGAGGAGATCGAGCGTCAGACTCCGAGATGAGGACAGCTTAAATCTTGCCGATGCCTACGGGAAAAGCGATAGATGTAGTATAGGTTATCCAGTTTCGATGAGTATCGAATAATAAGCCTAAGTGGCCTTGCAATTTCCAGAGCGTGCAAGTTCGGCGAGGGAGGAATCGTATAATCACGTGCTTCAACCAAACAAGTACTCACCTCAAAGTGTTTGTTGACGACGACCAACCGCCAACGATGGATGGTGCATCGCGGGATGCCCTGTGCAATCGTCTCAATACAAGTCGTGGCTCTCCTGAAATTCTATTGTTATCGCTCTCGCTGGACTTATTCATACACCTTTTCACTTTCTTGAATCCCCTCGATATCATCGCTCTGAGAAAAGTAAGGGCTATTTTTCTCCTTCGGCTGTGAAATTTGATATTTGATATGCTGATCTTTTGACCGTGCCGTAGACATGTAAAACCTTGCATCAGGCCACTTTGCAGCGCCACGTTTGGGTGAACGCCCTCCAAAGCGTCTGTGTCGCGAATTCTGTCTTTGCGCCTTCTTTTCCTTTGTTACAAATGTCGTTGACGGAATTAGAGCATGCTGCTGTCATCCCCTCCTTGTGGCCATCCATCGGCTCGGCTTGTAAATTGGTGCCAGATGGTCGATGGGTCCACAGTACCAAACGTATGCTTTGCAGACCACGCAGCCACGTTTTTATGGCTCATTCCTTGTTCCTGGGGGTCGATACTTGATACTTTTTCACGACGACGGCTGAGCCTCTATGACCTTGGAAATACCCCGGACATTCTACTGGATCACAAAACTCAAGTTCTTGCATCTGTAGAAATCCAATATGGAGGCCGTTTTCTTGTTCACCCCAGCCCAGATGGCTTAGCTCTTCGAATTTTTGTTCTAGCATCCGAAACCATCGAAGACGAGCATGACCTGGCAACTTTCGCTGATGTGCCAACGTTGGTGGTGTTTTCTTGTAATTTCAGTCGTGTCGCCCAGTTCAAATCTATTCAGTTGGGATTACAGGTTCCAAGTATACGAAATATACCCCCACCACGACCACCCTCAATTTGTGTTGCTCTCCGACTGGTTGCTTGTACAGCCGATGAACTCGGGCACTCACCTATACTCGATAAATCTCAACCGAATAGTATTCAAATTCGGCGATGTCTTGAAGGTCTGGGATTTTGTGGCCGAGACGTCAGCAATGTGGCGCGTCCCGGACACCCACCTCCGTAAAGTGCGTTTTTTTTCAATATATGCCACGCACCTCTCAGGCTTCGCTGGATTCCAGATTATCATTGCTGGGGACGCAATCATCTTACTTGGTAATGCAGGCGTATCGGTATGGAACATACCACCTCTTCTGCCTCATGATCGCGAACATACCACCCTACCACATGCCGACATCCCCATCCTCAACCCACTCTTCCGGATCGATTACCCTGAATGGATGCCACCCCTTGACTATGAATCTGTGATACAAAGGCCTGGGGATTGGTATGCGGAGCCTTGGTGTTACGACATTGTTACTCCCAGCGAACTCGGCTTTGAGATTTCGCGCTATCGGGTGATTTTCAACATGGACATGACTGCGGGAACTATCAAAAAGACAGCGGGCTTTGAGCTTGTGACCGGCACAAAACGGATATTGACGACGTCGTTGAGTCCTATCGCATGTGTCACGACCAGTTGATTATGTGTTGGAGCGAGGACTCCGTGGTCAAGACCTATACATCTAGATTGTCCTCTCATGACAGTATCTATCCGGGGCGCCAGATGCCACTGATCATCAAGGAACAGACAGGATTTATGGAGGAGACACTTAAAATATCCCTCTGTCCATGTTCCGCTCGACTTTGTCTGCTCTCCAGTTATGGTAGTGAAGTTTACATTTATGACTTTCGTTCACCTCTATGCCCAAATGCCTGACCCATACGGAAAGTTGCCGGCAGCTTGCTCGCTCGCTTTTGTAAATCAGAGTATTTATAAAGACAGACACATAATTACCTGACTGCGGCACCTAAACCCAACCTAAACCCACTCTCCACTTGCTCTACTGTGCGTGAAGACAATCTCGCTAACCACGTGATTCGCCTACATTCTCGACTCCTAATGAGGTCTCGTTCACAACTCGTTCACTTCTCACTGTCGACATCACGTCGACATGGACGTCGGCCTGGATCTTTCTAGCGAGTCCTTGACCTTGACCGGTGTTGGAAAACTCCTTTTAAAGGGCTCACTGGACCTTCTAATTCACATCCAACTGTTCTTAGACCCAGTTGACATTCTTGCCTTACGGTCAGTGAGTGCCGGTGTAACGTACTGAAGTTATTGGTTACATCCTAAAACTCTTCACCCAGACATGTAAACACCTTTGGGACGCGACTCGATCGCGGACTGTGTGGATGAATGCCGTTCGGAATGTCAGTGTCGCACAGGGTGCATTTTTACCGAGTTTCCCGCTGCAGGAGATGTCGCTCGACGACCTGGAACACGCGGCCCTGTCTCCTCGTCGATTATGGGCTCTTATCGGCAAGGCCGACGTAATGAAACCCTTCCTCATCCGAGTCTTCACACCTCGTACGTCGCGGGGAGCTGAGCCAGTTTCAATTGATGGAGCCCGTCTCGTACCTGGCGGTAGATTTCTGCTCACCTCGACCAACAACGGGGGTCTTTCCCTTTGGGATATTGGCTACAATGCCGGAACACATATGAAGATATTTCCCATTGCCACCTTGGCGGGTTCTTCTGCGACCTCCAGTAGCAGTGTCGCCAATGTTGGATGTACACCAGATTCAAGTGGTTTATATATCTTTATGAAGAGTCGGCTGGTTAATGGGTATGCCATCGTGTCCAATTTGCGTCCTGATATCCCTCCCTAATGTATTTGATAGCCATGCTCAGGTATCTTGTTATGAGATTTACCCGATCTCTGAGGCTCCAAACTTCAGCCAACTAGGCACCTTATCTGCTCGCGGGCCCCTCAAACGGACCGATATTTCCAAAGATTATTTTATTGGTACTACAGTGCAGCCATCAACGCTCATAATCTGGAGGTATACAAAACGAGAGCTTGGTGTCAGCTGGGATGTTGATAGCGTTTATGATGTAAGTATGTTGCCCAGCTTGACCGGCTTATCTCATCTCCTGCCTTGCAGTTGTGGGTTCTTGGTGATACTGTGATTACGTTCCATGAGTACCACTTTTCCTTGTGGACAATACCAGAACTACAACCGTTGGCCGATGGGTATGCCCCGGTTATCACACAGGAATCCAAGTGGGTTTTTGCGTATGCAGTTGAACAAGAAGGAGGGCCGAGTTTAGGTTTACCCAACAGTTGGGTCCCAGAACATGCTCGAAACCAATTTGGCATTTATCATGATGAAACTCCCGCCATGGCTCTCTACAGAGTCAAGTCTATCTATGCTAACCAGGATCCCGACCTGCCAGACATTCTTCCCGTGCGTTCCGGCTCTATGCAACTTTCAAACTCCTTGGGCCTGGGTGCATCGTACCTCAGTCCGCTCCATGTAACGGGAGATGGGTTCCTCCAAACGTGGAAAACGTCGAATCATATCTCCGTTGATATTATGACGAAGCCTAGTCCAGCCAATCCCACATACTCCTCTGCCACCTCTAATATTTGGAAAGACCCGCGGAACATAGAAGGACTTGAGTTTGGCTATGAATTTTGTCCAGTGACAGGACGACTCATCGTCCACGTCAAGGGTTCGGATACTGGTGGTGATAATGAAGTGCGGATTATGGACTTCATTCCTCCCCGGTCTTTCTCGTGAGTCTTCGAACAAATTATCAGCCGAATCCAGACTTAGGCATCCTCCTTTGCTAGGTGACGGTGGTGCTTCAATTCAGATGCCGAGGTCGGTTCTTGAACATGCCCTTCTACCCAAGCAGGTGGATTTGTCAAATGTATGACGTGGAGAAACCGCTTTCCTGATGCATCGCCGCCCCTCCCCCGCCAATGAATTGGACAGACTGTGCCTGAATATCAATAAGGATAAGCGTCTGGTATACATGGGCATCTTATGATCTTGTAAAGGAGACGGGGAATATGGAATATCGTCGAAGAAGATTCCGCAAGAATGGTCCTTCTTATAGAGCTTACTGGTGATATGGCCCACCATTGAACATGTGTGTCGATCAATGACCCTTTTAGACCAGGTGGTTAAAAGCCGGATACACATCATGTTGACATCAGCATTATTGTCGACCAGTAAGAGGTTATTTCACGTTGATGCATTGAACGAATCAACATCACAGGCCATGATGGGAACAACGTAAGCATGGATGCAATGGGTCATATATATGGCTGAAAGAAAACAGTACCAACGATAGTGCCTCTCCACTCACAAAACAAGCCAGCCCGGGTTAGGATAGTACATCTCCAGAAAGATCCTCACAGGAAGGAGCGCGGAACGAGCAAGTCCAAGGCTCGAATCTCCGAATCAACTTGGGCACTACTACAATTTCAACCATAAGACAACCTATTGTAGGACTGAAATCGAAATACAGCGGTTGCAGGTGGAGAGGGTTGCAAACGGAGTGTCGGGGCATGTTTGAGTGGGCACTGAAATCAGATCAACGACCAGCTCATGTCCGTCGTTGGTCCGTCGTCCATGCTTGGATGAGCCATCCATCATTGATGTGCAAAAATGTAATCCTTCAGCGCGTAGAGGACCGAAGGAGGGATCGGTGGGCCCAGTCGCATAATAAGAAATTGTTGATCCTGTGTTACATGCGTTGAAAGTCCGTGCTCCCTTGTGAAGCCAAGGTGAAGGAACGGTGATCAAACGATCTTCGCCTTGATTTGAGTATGTTTACCCAACTTATAACCGAGGAATAGAGGAGTGGAGGGTGTGTCGCCTGGGAGAGTGTGAAGGGTTGGTATTGTCCAGAGGGTAAACTTCCGCTCATGAAAGATTACTATGTTTTCTTCCGTAAAGCACATCTAATGTCGCGAACGGTAGATTGAATTTTTCAAGTTGACGTTGAAAATCAAACATGATCACTTACAGAGCATAGGCTTGAGTTGGTGGCCCAGGTGACGCCCATATTCAGAGTGCATTTCCAAAGTGTGAGTGCGGTCAATAATCAGCCCTGCTACTACTTCGCTCCCATGATAGTATCAAACACTATTTGAGTCTGGGAACTAAAGGTCGAGGTTAGTAAGGTAGCTAACAACTTTGAATGGTACATACATCAGGTTGTTGGAGAGGCCCCTTGCGGTCAAATACAGAGATCCCATTCCAGTCAGGTGTTGGACCGATGCACCACAGGCGAGCTGGGACTTCCGTAGATGATTTTGCCACGGGGAACGGCTCCATGGGTGAACCGGCGGTCGCTTCGAGATCAAAGGTAAAGGTTATCGAATATTGATGTCACAAGCAATCGGCCTCCAGGTACGAGAAAAGGCCACCACTTGAACGCTTGTCTGAAACGGTGTAAGCCGACGCCCGTCGCTCCTCCGCAAACACTCCGCAAGATGATAGCGCGACAAAGCCACATGTTCAAGATCATCTATGGACATCTTTGGTTTGTACACTCCTTCGATGATGCATATGAGAAATAGAGGCAGATTTGGGTTATGTCATGAGGGGTAGCGAATTTCACAACGCGCAATGGTCAAGCGTTGGGACCAACGCTGCAGCCTTGCTGCTACAATTCCATGCGATGAACCGGCCGCCCTTGCTGCATCGTTTACCAGTGTTCATATATTACAAGACAAAATACAAGTCGACGATCTGGATCCAGGAACCGAGTTATACCAAATGAGTCCTATTATCAGGCAGCAGTAAAACGGCGCTTACACCACGACATCACAATATCACCAAGCCCACTGCCGACTCCCTTCACCATGGCGCCGTCGGTCATCATCGTACCGCCGTCGACTGCCCCTGTCCCTTTCTCGGTGGGCTTCTTCGACCTCCTTCCTGTTGAAAACATCCCCATAAGCACTGCCAGATCCACCATGTACGGCGCTAGGCGTTTCACCCCCCTGCATCTCGCGCCTCTTCCTCCGGATAAGTTCTTGGGCGCGTTCCCGCTCCGACATCTCACGACTCAGTCGGGCCTGAACCTCTGGAGGTGCAGAGGGAGCGTGGCTTGGTAGCGCAGGCCGTGAATGATAGGAGGAAGATGAGCTTGGGGGGCGGGAGGCAAGTTGTTTGGTGATGGATGTTAGAGGGTCGTGCGCAGATTTTCGAAATTCATCTCGTTTTCTGTTTGAGTGAGTCAGTTGGCACAGAGTGTAGGTGTGGCGTGGTTCAGATCGAACCTTCGCTCGTCCTCTACTTCTTCGGTCTTGTCGGAGTTGCTTGCAGAATACCAAGGTTTGAGGTCCTTAGCTGACGGAGCCAGTGCGACGCCTTTCTCAGTCTCTGCTGGAGTCGCTTTCTTCGTGGCTTTGATAGCAGCAGCGATTGCATTCTATACGATTTTTTTAGTATTCAAGAGATATGTGTGGAGTTGCATAGAGAGCATACATGCTCAAGGTCCTCGAAAAAGTTGATATGTCCTTTCGTAGTCGGCAAGGCCGCAGGTTGCATTGAACTCCCAGCTGTGATGGCTTTCATGTCGTCGTCGCCCCTCTGCTTCTTCTTTGCAGGCTTGTCCGATGCGGCGCGCTCACGTAGCAGTTGGATTCGTGCTTCAGAATCCTAGTCTTAGCCTTAGTTTTTGTGCAAATGGGAAGCAAAGTACTCACTGCCAACGACATTCTCCCTTCTTCCTTGGCCTCTTTGAGCTGCGCCTCCTCTTCATCTCTTCGAACCTTCTCAATGTTATCCCGTCGATATGGATGGTACGACTTGTGGTGGGCGATGTTGAGCTTGCCCATCGTGGTCAAGAATCGATAGATTCAGTCGGTGCGCAAACATCACAAAATATATTCTTCTGCCTTTCCACCTCCATGATACCTCTGCAATAAATGATCGTTTCAACAACCTTGAGCTTGAGCACTAGCCGAATTCACCAAAATTTCAACAAAGAAAGTCCTTGAAGGTCGCCATCACGCTGAAGGGATGTCTTTACTCCTACCATATCACAAGGGGATTCTCGAGAACATCCATGACCCTGCTACCAGCGAACTATTAATCTTGGCCAGGGGGCTAGGGCTTCGCAGGATTATCTGCACCCTCATGCAAATATATGATTCTCCGCAGAACCTTGTGTTACTTGTCAACGCAACCCCAGAAGAGGAATCTGGCATCGGAGAGGAGCTCGGGATAATGGGGTGTCGCAGACCAGGTTTACGGGTAGTCGGATATGAGACTGCAAGCAAAGAACGGTAAGGTTTTATTGTCCTGTCAGAGCTCAACGTTGACGCGCCCAGTCAGGAAGAATCTTTACAAGAGTGGCGGACTTATCTCTGTCACTTCTCGCATCTTGGTTGTTGACATGTTACAGTCGGATATACCTATCGAACTCATAACTGGCATGCTCATAATGCATGCTGAACAGTGAGTTTTTACGTTCTTTGCCGTGAATTTGAGACTGACCGCTCGTAGAGTAACTCCGCTCGTCTTAGAGGCTTTCATTGTTCGACTTTATCGCGAAAAGAATAAAATGGGCTTCGTAAAGGCCTTCACGGACCAACCGGAGCATATTACGAGCGGGCTGTCTCCTTTAAAGAACATCATGAAGGAACTTCAACTCCGAACAGTTCGCATTTACCCAAGGTTTCATGAAGACATTAAGAAATCCCTTGAACGTAGACGGGCGGATGTTGTTGAACTCTCACAGCCCCTCACTGAGCCGATGGCTAACATTCATCACGCAATTATCCAATGCATGAACACAACGTTGTCAGAACTGAAGCGCTCAAACACCACGGTTCGTTTCACATTCACCTCATCTTCTAATCTCACTGGCCAACACAGCTTGACCTCGACGACTTCAGCGTTGAAAACGCCTATTTCCGCTCTTTTGACATCATCGTAAGGCGTCAGCTCGATGTGGTCTGGCACAAGGTCGGACCTAAAACTAAGCAACTCGTCAATGACCTCGCAACGCTGCGGAGACTCTTATAGTATGCCTCTTACCCTCTTTTATCCTTACCTAACATTTCGACATAGCTACCTATTAACCTACGACTCCCTCCAATTTCACGCGTACCTCGAAACCTTGATAGCCTCAAATACTACCACACCAACAGGAGGAACCAAGCAACACCAATCGCCGTGGATGTTGACCGATGCAGCCAACATTATCTTCGGAGTAGCCGAGCGCCGGTGTTATACCATAAGCTCGACGTCCAAACGTGTCGTCCCTCGGGTGATTGACCTCGTTGACGATGAAGACGCATGGGATGCCTTGGACGAAGCTGAAGGCCGCGTGGGTGGTAAAAGCAAAGAAAAGGAACACAAACCAACCTGGGTGCCTGACGGCATGGATCCCGTTCTCGAAGAGCTGCCAAAGTGGAATCTACTCTCAGATGTTATTCTTGAAGTAGAAGAAGAGATTATTAGGCAACAAACGATCACGAGGAAACCACCAACTCTTGGTCTGTCTACATCTTTCACTGTTCATCGGCCGCTTGCTTAGCATGACACGTAACAGGCTCAAACACCATCCTCATAATGGCCTCATCCACCAAAACATGTAGCCTCCTAACCGAATTCCTCTCCACCATGAACCATGACGCGCCCAGTGGCACAAAAGGCCGAAAGATGATGATGCAAAAGCTCCGTGTCTATCTCTGGTGGAAATCCCAGCTTTTGGCTAGAAAGCAAGAAGGCAAGACACATTTTGCTATGCCTGATACAAGCCGGCGAGCCGGGGACGGTCTAGATGGACTCTACGGCCAGAACGACGATATTAGCGAGGGTTTGAAGAAGAAAGATAAGGAGAAGGCTGAGAGGAATCAGAGTCGGCGTAGGATTAGAGGAGGCGGACCTACTTCGTCTTCGGGCTCTCGAGAAACTAAGACGGCCTCAGTTGATCTGGGGCCTGACCGAGTCAAAGCAAGGGATGACTTTTCCGAGTTGTGAGTCCTGCCAGCCTGTATTTCCGCCGTTTTTTCCGCTACTGATGTGTGCTCCAGTTGGGCCGCGCAGGCCGACGTGGGCGAAGGGCCTATCGAGTTGTGTGATATGCAATTGTTGGATTTCGGGTCTGGCGCGTTGGAAGACGAGTTTGACGTCCATTATGGCTTGTTGCCACCAGAGGAGACGGTCTTAATACGAGCGTATTCTGACGACAGCGACGATCGTATGCTTGCTGAGATTGAGCCGAAGTTCATTGTGATGTTCGAGCCTAATATGGAGTTTATACGCCGTATCGAGGTCAGTTCTTCCTCTTTCCTTCCCTATGGCTTGGAGGATTCTTCCGCTAATCAGACACACCCGTAGGTATATCGAAGTTCGAGCCCTGGTCTTGGTGTTCGAGTATATCATATGATATACGAAAACTCTTGTGAAGAGCACAAGTATCTTGCAGGTATCCGGCGGGAGAAGGAGTCGTTTGAGAGGCTGATCAAGGAGAGAGGGGTGCGCTCTACCCCGTCATTGGCTCATCCATTGAATTGACTTCGGTTCCCTAGACCATGCTGATGCCCTTGCTCGAAGAGAGACGAGAGGGCGCCAATGAAGAGATTCTCAAGACCATCAGTTCCCGAGTGGCTGGCGGGCGGCGGACGTTGAACAAGGAACCGTCTAGGGTGAGCGTTCTCTTCCTCGTCAGTCAAACCTATTCTAAAGTCACATTCTAGGTCATCGTCGACATGAGAGAGTTCAGGTCAACACTCCCATCCCTCCTCCATGCGTCCAGCCTCCTCGTGATCCCTGCGACGTTGACTATCGGGGACTACATCCTAACCCCTGAAATCTGTGTTGAGCGCAAAAGTCTGTCGGATCTCATTTCAAGTTTCAACAGCGGGCGACTGTACGTTCTTCTTCATGCCAGCTTCTTCTGTTGAATCCTGTTCCCTTCCTAAGGTATACGCAGTGCGAGCTTATGTCCGTCCACTACAAACACCCAATCCTTCTCATCGAATTCGAGGAAGATAAAGCATTCACACTTGACGTAAGGCCCATCTCATAACACACTCTTGATTTTACTGACTCTTGTAAACAAGACGGTCACGGATATGAAATCCTACGCTAAACCCTCCCACAAATACCCTCCTAAAAAGGGTCCAAGTGGTAATGGTCCGGAATCACCCTACTCCGGTGCAACCATCCAATCCAAAATCGTTCTCCTGACTCTAACATTCCCTCGCCTCCGGATAATCTGGTCCTCATCCCCCTTCGCCACTTCCGAGATCTTCAATGACCTCAAACTGAACAACCCAGAACCGGATCCTACCAAAGCCATCGCCATGGGCACGGATGATGACCCGGAGGCAGGAGCGGGTGTGAATGGGGCTGCTGAGGAGGTGTTGAGGTGTTTGCCGGGGATTAGTGCGAAGAATGTGAAGTATGTTATGGGCAAGGTGGGGAGTTTGAGGGAGTTTTGTGAGTTGGATATTAAGGGGGTGCAGGATATACTTGGTGTTGAGCCGGGGAAGGCGTGTTGGGAGTTTATGCATAGGGGGGATAGGCGATGGGGTCGAGTCGTGGTTATGAAACCGGAAATTGTTCTTTGAGGGTTCTGGCAAGCGGCGCCTTCAACTGTGATAATTAATATATTGCACTACATAGTAATAATTCACGCCCAACTACAATCACGACTTTGTCTCTCCAGGAGCCTCCCCCTTCTCCCCAACAACCTCATCCTCCCGAATCCCAAAGCCAGCATCATCCAACCTGATCCCAAGCTCCATCAAAACCGGCATAGCCCGCCCCCAAAACTCCTTCCAATCCTGCACCTCCTCAAGCCCCACCTCCCACCCCTTCGTCTTGTTGCCCTCATTCCCCACAGGCCCCACCTTCTCAACCAAAAACCGATCCCTAAGCGGCTCCAACGCACCTACTATCTCAAAAATCTGCGGATGCTCCGTGCGTAAGGGGGATGAGGGCGGCGTTGAGGAGAGGACGTGGATGATGGCGCTTGTGCATATTGATGTACATGTTCGTGCGCGCCCGATTGGGGTATTTGGTGGAGCGGGGAGGGAGTCAAATGCCTGTTTTTTTTTGTTTTGTCGCCCGTTAGTTTTATGTTCCACAAGAGGTGAGGGAGGAATGGGGAAGGAAGGGAGGGAAAGGGAAAGGGAAAGGGAAAAGGACGTACAGAAAGGTACTGCGCTGCAGCCTCCTCCGAAGCCTGTGGTCTGCCTAGGTACATGATCACCTGTAAGAGGTAGAGGTACGCAATTTTGAAACGGTCGTTGTTGTCGGGGAGGCGTAACCATATAGTGGGGTTGAATGACATCTTTTCGAATGCTTCGAGGAGGTCGCGTTCAGCTGGGACGTTTGGTTTTTGTTCATTAGGTACGTTTGGACTTTCTTCGGATACGTTCGTTGGATATTCTTCTTGGGATACATCCGGCTTTCCTTCTTTTGAAGTTTCGGCTTCGGTGGTGTAGAACCGGGGCTTTGAGGGGAGGAACTGGCTAGTTGGCAAGGTATGTCTCGTAAACCGTTCAAGTTCAACCTGTTTTTTATATATAAGCTTAACTCGGTGACGAAAAAGAACGGTAACCACCTGACCTCGCCCCCGTCCAGCCGCCGGTAAACGGATACTAGAAACACTCCTCCGCATCCCAATCGCCACCCTTGAAATCGGACTCAGTGAAGAGAGTTTTGTGGCCGTGCGCGTGCGTAACATTTTGGCTCGCCCTGTTGGGTTATGAGATCCTGTGAAAAAGTCGTAATTGTATTGGGTACAATTTATCCAGACTTCAAAGGGGAAGAAACACCAAGTGTAGAGGGAGGACGATGATGATTCGAACGAGCCGGGGTTGAGAACGGCATGTTTGGTACAGGATGTGTAAAACAAACAAACATCGGGAATCAACGTTCAACGTTAGTAACGGTTAATCAATCTTCAAGTTGAGGCTCTTGTTGAGGCTTACTTATAATTAGAGCCCTGGGGCTCGTAGCCAGGTCAGCGGGCGGTCCGAAATTCTGCACCTGGGTATGTACATATGAAGATCATGTTGTATTTATCTCTACAGCCCTGCATTTACAAATTGAGAGCAATGTGAAACCAATGTGAAGCAGTTGGGATTCTTGGGAAACGCACAAATATATAAATGAGCTTTGGTCTAAAACTTCAGCACACAAAACAAGTCCAGTGAAAACGAGTGACTACGTGAAAGATTGGGGGGAAGAGCATTTTAAGTGGGGCACAATTGATTCCATTGAGGGTATATAAGCGAAGACGCAACAGGGACGTACCAGGAGGGTTGCTACTAGCGATAGTTGGAATATCTGGGACGAAGACGAGTGCTAAGCCCCTGCAAAAGTCGGTGAATTAGTGGAGCTACTAGAATATCATGAAAAGGCGAACAGGGCCAAGTGCCAATCAATGTGGCTAGTTAAAATAAGCTGAGGGTGCGATCAACTTCATGACGACGGGATGCGCTCACCAGCGCAAAAGCCACGGGCCCGCATTGTCCGTCGTGAAACGAAAGGTGACGCTGTCCCCAGCTTGTCCAATACTGACCACGTCCCGACGGACGGGGTTTACAAAATCGTAAGTTGAACTGCCTGCACTGCGCACGACGTAGAAGGTGTTCTATCATCGGACAAATTCTGAGCAGAGATTCTCGCAGGAACAGAATTCGAAAACGTACCTCGTGCAGATGAAACGGATGCTAAATGAATGAGGCATTCATACTAATTTATGTCAACTTCAAGAGAATGACGAATGAGCACGTACCGGGCCTCCATTTTCAAGCCCGTTAAGTGCTCGCAGCGTAACTTCAATAACCTCATTTGGAGGAAGGATGTGCACGCCTCCGGTAGGCAACAAGCCTTGTTCAGTCACCGCTCCACTCAAGATCCGTGAAAGGACGGGAACAGTAGCTGGGATGATTAAAATTTAATCATGATTTAAATGACACGAAAGCGGCCCCGTTGAGAGTATACTTGAACCGGCTAGTAGTAGTAGAGTCGAACGCAATATCCAAACCAATCTTGATATCAGCACCTCCGGGGATTGGGAGGCCTGGAACGCCCGGGTGAAGGTAGGTTTCACGCATCGGCAAGAGGCTGATAAGTTGAACACTGGTAATAGGGTCTCGATTAGTAGGTGCGAAACCGTAGTCGAGTTGATGCCGCCGGAAAAGTCTTGGGACCTAGGCACTTCTTCAAAAATACAGGTTTATTCAGGGATTCCACCAGGACTCCACTGCGACTAAGGACACAATGGCAGGACTGGGTCAAATTGAGTAAGAGTGTATCGGAAGTCGCTCGTGGAAGCGATTCGTGATGACAGCACACGTGCTCTAGCTGGCGGCCACAGCCATTGTTGTTTGAATGCTTCGCGATCCAAGCCCCGCCGCCGCTCGTCCTAAAAGACCCTACTTCAACATAATCAGAACTGGAAAAAAATGTGTCTTTTGCCTGCTGGTCCCGAATCCCGTCTCTTTGCATCAATGTAATCCGAAATTGAACATAGAAAGGTGCCAGAGATTTGTGGAAAGTGGCTTGCAGAATGGGTCTTGAGGACCACAACGGCAAGTGTCACTCTGTGTCATATAGTTCAACCTGGCTGTTAGTGAGAAGGTCAGTCCGACTATCTTTCAAAAGATTCTGAATGAATCACTCACCTGATTTCGAAGCCTCTTGAAACTTAGATCATTTCTATGGGCTAACAATGCCAGGAAGGTGTTGATAGCTGCCAGTAGGTTGATAATTCAACAAGCTGGAGTGAAATCGTCTAACCAGCGTAAACGCATCCGTGTCGTAGACCAGGCACAGTTTTGGAGGCAAACATTGAATCCCCCTTCAAGTCATCTCTCCTAACCCGTCATTTGCAATATCAATGTAACATGTGCGTTTCCTCTGTCCTTCACTAACGCGTTGCATACATCAATCCACCCATCGACGAATCTCGTCCTAGCGCGTCAAAGCCAAGAGATTTCATAGCGCAGCAATGAAGAGCCTACAATCAACAGAGGTGCGACTAGCGAGGCTGTATTGGCCTGGAGCGCCATTTTGACCAGGATGAAGGAGCAAGGAAAATAAAACGCCGGAAACCAACCGATTACCCGAACATTTCCCCACGTGCAGTCTAAAACACAAGCTTATCCCAGTAACCTCAGGAGACAGGAGTTAGAAACTTATGTAAAGCCAGCTCACCTTCTCTTACCTACCACCATGTCCGAGCTTGCGTATACCCCCATTGACGAAATTGAAAAGGTGCCAGTCCAAGATTCCCTTCACCTCCAAATGCTGACCTCCTAATATCTAGATTCATGCGGAACTTCGCGCAGGTTTCCGCTCGGGAAAGCTCAGACCGATAGAGTACCGCAAGTACCAACTTCTCCAGCTTATATATCTTATCAAGGACAACGCGGACCGCTTCGAGGAGGCGCTCAAGTTGGATTTGGGTAGGCCAGCCCTTGAAAGCCGGTTGTGCGTTAAATTACTCCTTTCCTTTTGCAATTTTTTGATTCCTTTCAAAGCCTGGAGATCAATGCTGCAATCAGCGAAACCTATGCGGCCTACAAAGGTGTAGACACATGGGCGAAACCGGAGAAGCCACCGTTCAACTTGAATTTTGCCCCCATGAAGCCTGTCATGTACAAAACGCCCAAGGGCGTCGTGCTTATTATCAGCCCGTTTAACTACCCTCTGTGGTTGGTTGCGACTCCTTTGGTTTGTAAGCCTTTACCGTTTGAACGGTTGATGCTAACGGTATGGCTTAGGCAGGAGCGCTGGCGGCGGGGAACGCAGCTCTGCTCAAGCTATCTGAGTCAACTCCGGCAACTAGTTCTCTTCTCGCAGAACTCGTACCTAAGTACTTGGACCCGAGCCTTGTGCGAGTTGTCAACGGTGCTATTCCAGAGACGACTAAGGTACGTTTCAATGTTCTGGCCTCCTAACGTTATCTGAAACTCTTCACCAGGTCCTTGAACTGCCCTGGGATCACAGTATGTATTCCCTCAACTTACTCGTATACTGTTCTCATATTTTGCTTAGTCCTTTATACTGGTGGAGGACGCGTCGGACGCATTGTCGCCACTGCTGCCGCCAAGCATCTCACCCCTGTCACTCTCGAGCTAGGCGGTAAATCCCCCGTCATCATTGACCCGAAATGTGATGTGAAAACGGCGGCCAAACGTATCTTGTGGGGAAAGGTTGTCAACTCCGGTCAAACCTGTGTCGCTCCGGACTACGTCCTCGTCCCACGAGCGTTCCAAGAAACCTTTGTTCAGGCTTTGAAGGAAACATACGAATCTTTCTACCCCGAGTCTGCCAAGGCCCCTGACGCGTATTCACGCATCGTGACGCCCCAAGCCTTTAACAGAGTGAAATCCCTTTTGGACAACACCAAGGGTGAAATCGTATTCGGAGGCGAGACGGATGCGGCGACCAAGTTCATTGCGCCTACTGTTATCAAGAACGTTTCTGCGGATGATTCTCTTATGAGTGAAGAAGTCTTTGGGCCGTTGTTGCCAATCGTCCCTGTGGAGGATGTGGACGAGGCCATCAGATATGTGAATGAGCAGTGAGTACCTTTTACATTGCACCGACAGAAGCAGGGCTGATGTGGATACAGTGACCACCCGCTGGCGTTATATGTATTTTCCCAAGATGCTGCATTCAAGGCCAAGGGTGAGTGGGTTTTGATTCCTTTCTTTCATTGTGATGAAGTCTCAGTTGTAGTTTTCGAGAACACGCAGAGTGGTGCATGCGTTGCTAACGAGTGTCTTCTTCACCTTGGTGGTAAGGTCTCCTCTATTCCTCACAAGTTATAATAACTGAGTGTTCTGTAGCTGACGGGCTACCTTTCGGCGGTGTTGGCCCAAGCGGAAGTGAGTACCTATGAGACCTTTCATGTCAAGGTTTTTCCTGACGCGATCATGTTAACAGGTGGTGCACACACGGGAAAGTTTGGCTTTGACACCTTCACGCATGTCCGGGCATCCTTGGATTCACCCAGCTGGTCCGTCCTCGTCTATGTCTATCTGCTGCTAGGCTGATCTTTTTCTGGGACAGGATTGACATACTTCTCAAGTTCCGATACCCCCCTTATAACGTCAGCCTTCTCTTCCTTTTGTCTTTCCTGTTGCTAACGCGCTTAAACTTTGGCTCAGGGCGACAAACTGAAAAAAACAGGCTTGCTTTTGCCAGGTGTGCCAGCCCGGCCCACTGGTCCTCCTGCGGCGTTTGTCACTTCTAAATGGTGGGGCAAATGGTTTCTTTTTGCGTTGGTTGCTGCTATCGCTGGTGGGCTGACGAACCGCGCTAAGATTCTTGGTGGTGCTTCCCGGGCAAGTGGATAGTTTATTTCAGATGGGCTAAGACGGACTGGAAGGAATAAAGGGTTTTGATCTGTCGAACATAAGAATTCGAATCTGTGCTTATTTACAATTTTATTTTTATGTTATTGCTTCCTGTCTTCGGTCTGAAGAACCCGCTGTTACACGTTTTAGAGGATCGGGATGCTGATGGACCTTCTTTGGAGGTGATCCGAAAACGCGGAAGGCAAGGTCTTTGTTCTTTTCATGACGAGAGCGCATACGACATTTATGAACATAAATGATTGGCAGGAAAGAAGCCACAAGTCGGAACAAACTATGTAATAGGGCCTGGATGTCTTCATGCCTCTGACACTTGGAAGAACATAGACCCCTGGGCCCTCCTGGATCCCCCCATGCAGAAGAATGATATTAAAAATGACCTAACAAAAAACGGAGTTAACCATGCCTGCAAGACGTGGTCAAATTCTGGGGTTAGAATAAAGAGGGCTAAAATGGACCTGTCGAACCTGGGTGTGCAAGAAAAGTTCCACTTCAAGATTAGCGACCCTGATCCTGCTGTTGCTTCTGGACAAATTATCGGCTATGATAGTAACTGGTGAGAAACGGGCAAACGCCAGCTCTTCCCCGTTGAAGAGATGGCTGGTTGCATCGATGAGCACGAGTAGGAGGCGATTATCCGGGGATGGAGGATTATCAGGGAGCTTGCAGCGTAGGAGATTCTGTTACAAACGTCAACAGTAAATTGGGCGTGACAGATTTCCCAAAATAGCCGAGAAGCCGAGATATGACTAAGCAAAGTGTCGCGATTTGATTGGCTAACCTGGTTGGTTGGATTTCTTCTCCCTTTGCCAGCCACCCCTTCTTCCCCTGACCTCCCACAATTTAGCTTGTCGTCTGTCATTCTATACCCTTCTCCACATCGTATACCACGACCAGAGCCTATGGATCTTACTACCTTCGCAGGCAAGTACCGACTGGAAGAAGAGATCGCGAATGGAGGGTGTGGTCAGTCCTTTTATCCTATCAATTTGTTCGTGACCCACTGAGAGTTCTCGTGTAGGAACGGTTTTTCTGGGCGTGCACACCGTTGCAGGCAAAGAAGTTGCCATAAAGCTCGAGCCAGCGATGGCAAAGCATAGTCCACTGAAGCAGGAGTCCAAGATTTACAAGACGCTTATGGGCGGCACAGGAGTACCCTGGATTATGTGGTCGGGACGCCAGGGAGACTACAATGTAATGATTATTGACCTCCTTGGACCTTCACTCGAAGACCTCTTCAAGATGTGCAATCGCCATTTCTCGCTCAAGACTGTATTGCAGTTGGCAGACCAACTTGTGAGTGAGGCGTCGCGTAAACTCGTATCGTGCGCATTAGGCGCCGCTATGATTTACTCCCGCGTTTAACGCGTCCTTCATTCTATGAAAGCAAATGACGCTGATGACGCTCTTAGATATCGCGAATCGAGTTTATCCACTCCCACTCCTTTGTTCATCGTGACATCAAGCCAGCTAATTTTGTCATGGGCACAGGCAAAGCCGCCCATCTCGTGAATGTGATCGACTTTGGTTTGGCTAAAAAATTCCGGGACCCAAGAACCTCCAACCACATACCATACAGGCAGGATGAATTCCATGGCGTTGGAACCTCGCTGTTTGCTGCTATCAATACCCATCTTGGCGTTGGTGAGCCTTTTCCCTTTCGCTCTAGTTTTCATGACACTCATGTGGACCGTATCACTAGAATCTTCGCGCCGGGACGATCTGGAATCTCTTGCGTACATGCTCATTTATTTCATCCGTGGTACACTTCCTTGGCGGAAAATTCGCGCTCCCCAATCACCCACCTTCACATCATCTATCTCTCCCTCTGAACGCCAATATCAGAAAAAGCACTACAACCCCGTGTCCGCCACGTGGGATCTTATCAGAGACTCCAAGTTGGCCCATGATCAAACTCTGACCGTCGGGCTTCCTCCGGAGTTTGACGTTCTCTTCCGCTATGCGCGGGGGCTCGAGTTCGACGACCTCCCAGACTACGAAGGCTTGCGAAAGCTTTTCCGCGGGCTTGCCGACCGTGTCGGCATCGAGTACGATGGCGTCTTTGATTGGTCGGTGCCTAAGTCTTCAGCACACCAGAACCGTGGCGCTAGTGAGGGCAGCGGCAGCGGCGGTAGGAGATACTGCGAAGCGTGTAATGCACGAAGCAGGAGGTAGCCCACACGTGGGGAACGCGTCATCCATCTGATGTCCACGCTTGTTAGTCTTTTCTCTACTTCTGGCTAGCTTATTTTTGACTTGTGTGCCTCAGTGTAGATGACATCCACGATGACCGACATGCCATGAGCTCATGACTTCTGCTGTCGCTTTTTTCAGCAGCTTTGCCCCACCGACGCTGCCTTACGCAGTTACCCCACCATTCACTCAGGCCCAGGCAATGCAGGGCCGTTTATGAACATCATGAATAGGACTTTCTTCTTCACATCGGATTTTTGGGATGTGATTCCCTCTTTTGGGGCGCGTCCCGCACGGCTCGGGGTTGTCTCTTTGCTGGTATATTTATAGTTTTTGTTGATTGCAAATGGGTGCTGATGCTACTTGCGCTCTCAGGACTTTGGTCTCCTCGCTGCGTTTCCTCCCTGGATGGGCGCATCGGCCGGCGGAAAAATCCATGACCTCTTTTATATTTCTTTCTCTCTTTGCTTTCGTCTTGCTAGGAGTATGGTGGTTCCATTGCTGTTATTGCTCACTTATGATTTCGCGTTCCCTCATGATTTAACTCTGCCACAAAGTCAAGTACTTGCCCTCGTCCTCCCATGTTCCTGTATGATGACCATCTGTCTGTTGTACTCCTTAGACTGTATGTATGTCGAAACTATGGTTTATGTGTCTCCCCCTCTTTTGTTTCCTGTTGTGCGCAAGGTTTAGCAAGACAAAGAATTGGAAGTGATCATGTCGACTTGGATGGCCTGATGAACCAATTTACATTATCTATCCAAGTGTACAAGGTTTGGGTACAGGAATACGACCAAGATACTTACAGTAGTTGAGCATTCTCTTCGTGTTGAGTGAGCATAACGCGTTGTGTCACAACTTGCAACAATTTGTTTACTGAGTTACTTCACTGGGTGAATGATAACATGTTAACGGTTTAAAAAAAATTGTCAAACAAGTTATCAGTAATGGGTGATTTGGACAAAAAACATATTATAATAACCCATTGATAACCCATGGTGATTATTCCTTGCTAACTGGTTTGTTTAGACATGTTTACTGGGTTAGGCACCCAGTAATTATAATCCGTCCTGGGGTGCGCAGTGTTGCTTTTGATCGCGCATTCACATTTTTGTGACTTACCGAATTGCAACTGCCACCTGCATCATTGAGTCTGGCTTGTCAGTGCCGCTGCGCCTTCCTATAGTTATGGATCATCCCGCCTTGCTACCGAGGGCTTCACCACGGTTGGACAATCTTCCCCTCGATATCATGATTCAGATACAACAACATGTTGATGCGAGGGATATCATTACTCTCAGAAAAGTATGCATGTCAATTCTCCTTGTCTTTTCCGAAAAGGCTAAACTATGGCGGGTTTCAGTCTTGCAAAGGATTACATGCTGCTACGCAACAGCGCACTGTGTGGCTGAATGCGCTCCGGCGGATGTGTTGGCGACATGGGGTATTTGCACCGTCGTTTCCTTTGGAGTACATGTCTATCAAAGAGCTAGAGCATGCATCTCTGGCGCCCTCCAGAATCTCGTCACTCATCCATAAAGGTGCCCTTCGTTCTTTCGTAACGCGGATTCTTGAACCCCGCACACCGTCCATCGTCAGTAATGTCAAAACGGACTTAAAGTGCGAGAGCACCTTTCTCATTCCCGGAGGCCGCTTCTTAGTTGTCAACTCCTATTGTCACGGTATATGTCTATGGGATCTGGGTATACATGCTGGGAAGGTGCCAGAGTTCTCACCTGTAGATGTCATTCAACAGGCGGGTTATGAGTTTTTGTGCACTGGCCCAACGCGAGACGGTCTTGGTATCGTAATCGTCTCATATTTGAAGCGTTGGGATGACAGGACACTCGTCGCTCACGAGATCTATCCCTGTACTAGCAACCCAAAATTTGCCTGTCTAGGATCGATCAAATACCCTAACAGAATTGACGACATCGACATACCAGCCTTATCTGGCGAGCTTTTGGTTTTCAAAGGTTCACCGTCTTGCATTGTCGTTTGGAACATAAGTCTTGGTGCCGCGGTTGCGTGGAGTTATTCGGAGTCTATATATGATAATGTTCGTCCATCCAGTATTTTACACTTCCAAGATGCTGATGTATACATCTCCTGTAGATATTAATCTCTGGTGATAGTATCATTCTAGTTCAAGAGTTCAAATTGTCCGTCTGGGATATACCCCCGTTGCTGCCACTTTCGAAAGGCGATTGCAAAATTGTTACGCACTCCCCAAAGTACGAAGTCACCCATCCTTTCTCATCAAAAGGGTGGTGGACTTCATCAGTTTTGAGTCCTTGGTTCTCAAGAATCAATACCCCCATCTTATTTGTAATCTTTGGGGAAAACGACGACCAGCCTATCATGGTGTGCTACACTCTAATATCAATCACTTCATCCATGGACCCTACTTTACCGATGGTTCTTCCCATCAAGACAGGAACAGCGCTCGGCTTGCCTGCAGAGGCGATCATCCCTACTGATATTGATATTTGCGGATGCCTGCAATATTGTGAAAATGAACTCTGCCGCATATCGCTATCAGGGACTCAGCTGATGATTAGCTTGGTCACGCCTCCAACGTCGTTGAACGACGTCCCTCCAATCACTTCCAACCTGTTCAACTGCCGATCGGATCCCCTAAGTTGCAGTTTCTGTGCAGTTTCAGGCCGAGTCGTTGTTGTCGAAGCTGGGTGTGAGGATATCCGCATCATGGACTATCTCGCCCCGCCCCCTTCATAGGTCGCCTCTGTCATTTGAAATCATTGACTTTCGGCAACATACTGTGGGCTTTACAATTTATACGGAGTACAATTGACCCACGTCCCGTCCCGGCGGCCAAGTCACCAACATGCTGCGATAACGCAATCATGTCATCCTTGGAAAGTACAGCGCGCGGAAGATTACTATTGGTGTATGCTTCTGCGGTGCCATAAATCAAACTGACAAGGATGCGGAAGCGACGTCTTGGATAAGACTTGGTGGTCCTCCCGTCTCCGAATATATACTTCAGCTTCTTTCTGCAAACGTCGAACTTCAATGTGGCAAAACGACCATGTATTAGATAGCCCGACATTGAATGTATATCCACGTATTAGCACTGTCCGTGGTTATCCGCGTATTAGCACTGTCTGTAGTGACCACACAGCGGTAGTACATTACCTATGTCCACTCAACCACATAGTACTTCATAACTCATTGTGAAAATCATCGTAACTTTGAATTTCGCGACGCGGCTGGCCAACGACTCGCGATCGGCGACAGCAACCAATTGAATTTCATCTTCTCGTCCGAACACCTCCCTGTTACACGAATCATGTCGAGCTGGACGTTGTTTCTCTTTCTTCAGATCCTTGGACGTACTCATAGAAGACAATTGCACTTGAATTGCACGGCGATCTGATCATTCACACGGGCGCCTCACGGTGACGTCTCCCACAACCACAACCGTTCCGCTCAGCAGTGTCGCCGCATCTTATGCCTATGGACTATTACTCCTCGCAACTGAAGGCTTCACCGTGTCTGGAGAATCTACCAGTGGATATCTTGATCCAAATACAAAAACATCTTGACGGAAGAGATCTCATCGTGCTGAGAAAGGTATCCAAGTCGGTTTTGTATCTTCCTGACTAAAACTAAACTCTGCGGTGTCTCAGTCCTGCAAAAAGTTGCATGCGGTCACTCAACGACGTACCGTGTGGCTCAATGCGGTCAGACGTATGTGTAGACGACATGGGGTGTTCGCACCATCGTTCCCACTGGAAGATATGTCCATCACAGAACTAGAACATGCATCGCTGTGTCCCTCACGACTATCGTCCCTCATCCACAACGATATTCCTTTGCGTTCTTTCGTCACGCGAATCCTTGAACCCCGTACACCGACCGATTCTGAAGGGGATTTGTGCTGCTCAAGTGTTTTTCTCATTCCTGGAGGTCGATTCTTAGTTGTCGACTCTGCCCATGGCATATGTCTATGGGATCTGGGTATACATGGTGGGAAGGCACCAAAGTTTAGGCCAGTAGCTGTCATTCCAGACGTGATGCTGCTGTGCTGTGGCCCAACTCAAGATGGTCTTGGAATCATACTTATTTCACGTCGTACCCGGCATAGAAATCCTAACCGAACACTTCGCGCCCACGAAATCTATCCTTGCATGAACCGTCCGCACTTGACACTTCTAGGATCTATTCAATATGCTCAGCAAGCTACTCATGTCGGCGGAAGACCCGCCTTGTATAGCGACCTTTTAGTTTTCGAAAACTCTCCAGGCTACATTGTCGCTTGGAACACAAGGCTTGATACAGCAATTGCATGGAGATATGATCATCAATACATATATGACGTTTGTTCACCACTGTTTTTTATCCTTGAGGTTCTGATGTGCATATCTTGTGTAGATGTCAATCTATGAGGGCAGTGTCATCCTAATCCAAGAGTCCGAGTTGTCTGTTTGGGATATACCTCCTTTGCAGCCACTTTTAGAAGGTGTGTGTGAAGTCGTTGACCAAACCCCTCGATATGCCATCGTCCACTCTTTCCCGTCACATGAAGAGTTGATGGGATCATGCGTTTTGAGTCCTTTCTCAAGCATTGATCCTCTCATCTCCTTTGTTATGTTGGGATACAAAGACGAAGAATGTTCCATGCTGTGTTACACTCTCAGATCAATCAACCCATCCCGAGACCCCATTTTGCCAATGGTTTTTCCCATTAAGATGGGGATGGTGCCCAAGTTGCTTACAGATACCAGTTCCAGTGTCAGCAGCGACGATTACAGTGAACCTTTGCAGTACTGTGATGATGAACTCTGTCTCGTAAGCATATCCAATCGAGGGATAGTCATCAGCCTTATCGCACCCCCGACCTCTTTGGATGGACCATCCTCCTCGAAGAACGCCGTACTGTTTGATATGTTCGAGGGAAGGGACCAGATTTCTTGGAGTTTTTGTGCAGCCTCAGGACGACTTGTTGTTGTGGACGATGATATTATCCGCATTATGGACTTTCTCGTCCCGCCCCCATCCTAGTCACAGGTTCCGTCATCCATGCCTTCTGATGCTGTTTTGTTTGTGGCCCTAAAAGGATCTGATTGTCGAGGCGGTGGGCCTTTCCGAAACGATAACGTGCTGCACCGTGCTTCATTTCTTCTTCCTGTGCCGCATAGTCTACAATGGCGAACCCACATCACACCCTAATTGCCCCTACTCCTCGGTCTATACCCATCGTTCTCCAGAGGTCGCATCCTTCTCGCGATCTCCATCTTCTCAGCGCTTAAGAACCTGCACACTGGCCAATCACGTCCTCCAACCACGCCTTTGGATGCGGCGTCAAGGGCGTTCAACTGCCCTCCAACTCGTGATTGCGTTACTGAGTAGCGCTAAAGGAATCCTGGTCCTCATCCTTCGGGTTTTGAAAGCATAGTGGAGACGATTTACGCTGCCGCAGCGGTGTGCGAAGACCAAGAAGTGCGTCGGTAGTAATACTGGTATTTCGCCTTAGCTGGAGACGCGACACAACTTTGTGCTTCACGATCACAGGTCTTGTCAAGGGGTGTCATTGTTTCGAATGCATCGTCAACAGTTTCTTTCTGTGAATGTCGGACAAACCAGAAATGCATATCCGCTTATTAGCATCGTAGTGACCACACAGCTACATTCCTTACAGCGAACCATATACATACTTGTCATTTGTAGTACTAATCTGTTTGGAGACACAACTAATAGTTGAGTGAGAATTCGACTCGGAATTCCAATCCAGCCAGCTTGCACCCAGCGACCAATTAAATTTTGATTGATATACGTTTTCTTCTCGTCCAGATACTTGTCCTATGTCTCATGTCGAGCTTTGAAGCTGCGCTTGTTTTTTTCTCTCCAAATCCTTGTACGGTCGCGGCAGCCGTCGTACTTACTCATAACTTAGAAGATATTTGCACGGCGATCTGATCATGCATTCACACGGGCGCCCCACGGTGGCTTCTCCCACAACCACAACCATTCCGTTCAGCAGTGTCGCCGCATCTCATGCCTATGGACTATTACTCTTCGCGACTGAAGGCTTCACCAGGTCTGGAGAATTTAGCTGTGGATATCTTGATCCAGATACAAAAACATCTTGATGGAAAGGATATCATCGTCCTGAGAAAGGTATACAACTTGTTATCTTTCTGACTGAAACTGAACTCTGGGGCATCTCAGTCCTGCAAAAAGATGCACGCCGTCACTCAACGACGCATCGTGTGGCTAAATGCGGTCAGACGCATGTGTAGGCGACATGGGGTGTTCGCACCATCGTTCCCACTGGAAGACATGTCCACCACAGAGCTAGAACACGCATCTCTCTGTCCCTCACGACTATCGTCACTCATCCACAATGGTGTTCCTTTGCGTTCTTTTGTAACACGAATTCTTGAACCTCGTACGCCGAGTATTGTGCCCACCGTTGAAGGGAATTTGCACTGCAAAAATGCCTTTCTCATACCTGGAGGTCGATTCTTAGTTGTCAACTCTACCCACCATGGCATATGTCTATGGGATCTGGGTATACATGGTGGGAAGGCACCAAGGTTTAGGCCAGTAGCTGTCATTCCAGAATTGGATCACAGCTTCCTGTGCGGCCCAACTCAAGACGGTCTTGGAATCATCCTCATCTCATGGCCTACCTCCAACCCATCAGGCTCCAATACTTCTGACAGAACACTTCGTGCCTATGAGATCTACCCTTGCATGAACAGTCCGCGATTTACCCTTTTGGGGTCGATTCGATATCCTCAACAAGATGGTCGCGTCGCTCGAAGCCCCGCCTTGTATGACAACCTTTTGGTTTTTGAATTGCACACCGAGGATTCTCCAGATTATATTGTCGCTTGGAACATCAGGCTTGATACAGCAATTGCATGGAGACATGATCATCGAGGCTTATACGACCTTGACGACGTTCGTTCCCCATTGTTTTTTATCCTTATGGTTCTAATGTGCATATCTTGTGTAGGTGATAATCTATGAGGGCGGTGTCGTCGTAATCAAAATGGATGAGTTGTTTGTCTGGGATATACCTCCTTTGCGGCCACTTTTCAGAGGTATATATGAAGTCATCGATCAAACCCCCCGATATGCCATCACCCACCCTTTCCGTTCACAAGAAGATTTTGTGGGATCCTCCGTTTTGGGTCCTTGGTTCGCAAGCATTGATCCTCCCATCTCGTTTGGAATCCTTGGATCCTTGGATCCGGGTGAAAAGTGTGTCATGCTGTGCTACACTCTCAGATCAATCAACCCATCCCGGGACCCTATTTTGCCAATGCTTTTTCCCATTAAGATGGGGATGGTGCCCAACTTGCCCATAGATACCAATGCAGATGGTGTTGACATGATCGATTTCTCTGGACCTCTGCGGTACTGCGACGATGAACTCTGCTACATAAGCGCATCGATTCACAAGATGTTCATCAGCCTAATCACGCCCCCGACCTCATTGAATGGACCATCCTCCTCCAAGTCCTCTGCACTGTTCAAGATGTCTGACCCGGGGGAGTTTCGTTCTTGGAATTTTTGTGCAGCCTCGGGACGACTTGTCGTGGTGGATGATACCACTGGTATCATTCACATTATGGACTATCTCGTCCCGCCCTCGTCCTAGTCATAGGTCCTGTCATCTATACCCTTCTTACCTTTCTGATGCTGCTTTCGTTTGGGACTATAAGGATGTGATTGTCGAGGCAGTGGACCTTTCTGAGACGGACGTGCTGGATAACGCACCTCCGTCTCCCTCCAGACTTTCGTCACTTACCCATGGCAACATCCCACTGCGATCTGCCGTAATTTAAATTTTTGAACTCATGCGCCCAAAAGTTTACAGGGGAGACTCTGTTTCCGGAGTGGAGTGCCTTTCCTGGAAGCTGTCAATTCCCTTTTTCGTGATATATCCCCATGGAATTTGGGTATGCACTCTGGAAAGGCGTCAAAGTTCACGTCAGTGGGAACGATTTCAGACGCGGTCGGCGGGACACTATGCCCCAGCCCGACGCAAGACGGCTATAGCATTGGCATCGTAATCCTCAGAGTCTCTCTTCGCCCACGAGATCTAATCCTGTGGAAGCAATTCAGAACACACTTGTTGGATCGATGGGCAAGGCAGTCATGTTAATCGCAGACTGCCTTGTCCGGTGGGTTTCTCTTGGTTTCTCGTCGTCACCAGTCGTCCATAAGTCGTCGTTTCGAACGTAATGCTTTGTTTAGCGGTTGCATGGAAATGTTTTGAGCCAGGTCATGATGTTCGTTCGTGCAGTTTTTCTATCCTTGAACTTGCTAATTAACTATCTCGTGAAGATGTTGATCTCTGGTGGAACCGTCGTTCCGGTCCGAGGATCCAACTTGTCCGTTTGGGATATACCCCCTCTGTCATGCAGCCGCTTTTGGAGGGATACATGACTACGAAATTGCTGGTCATGCTCGGAATACACAATCTTTGACGCCTTAACACTCTCGAACTCGAGCAGAAAAACAGAAAATATGACGTGGCCTGCTACGCTCCAGCCTTTCCGGAGATCCTACCTTATCAACGGTTTCCTCCGTCAAGAAAAGAACGGTGCTGGACTTGCTTTAGAGGCCAACGATAAGCGGTATTGTGAGATGAACTCCGTCACTTCAGTATCCGAGAGTATGACGCCTATCAACCTACTTAATGACGCCTCCAACCTCATTGAATCGACCGTCTTCCTCAACCACTGCCGAATTGTTCACTTTCCAACCAGGCACAAGATGTAGATCATGCGCCTTCCCTTCGGTCGCAACACCCAGTCTTCTCCAGAAGTTTCTTCTCCCTTGGTTCAATATGCTTGAAGCTCACAGTGGATCTGAATTTCGGAAATGCCTTGAATTGCGAGGTATGTAGTGATTTCTATGGACGCGTTATGTTACAAATTATGGTATATTTAGGAGTCGGGTAGGGAATGTCCTTCATCCTACACAGCGATTACCTGAGGCACTGGTAGTGGCCCAGACCGCGTCCTCCAATTCACTTCCTCCGACGCGGCCATGAGCGCATTCTTCCGCCGCTCAGGAGCACGTCCGGCTGCCCTGCTCCTCCTTCCATTTGGGTTGCGCAACGCCGAGGGAACTCCGCTCCTCCTCTCTTGTTCCTGCGCTGGTTTCCGCATAGCAGTGACGACACCAGTCCTACTGTCTTCCAGCTCTGACGGCGCTGGCGACCTCCTGAATGGCGAAAGCACCCCTGCTCTCCGCTGCGGTGATGGAGTAGCAACGAGCTCCTTTTCCCCTTCCACTGCATCTACCGTATGGTTCCGCTTATATTCTATTGACTTCCTCATCCTCCTGTTCATCACAATCTCTGTACAGGTCTCTCGCAAAGTGCTCCGAATGGACTCGTGCAACTGCGTGGTCGTGGTGTCAGCCAAGGCAAGCAAGGCATCGCGCGAGTAGATGTGTGGGCGTGCTGAGGAAGCGACGTTAGTTCGTAGGTTGAGTGGCGAGGTGGTTGGCCAAGGCTTACCTGCATGATGCGCGTCGCTTCCACTCCGTTTATGCACGGGGACGTACAGGTCTTTGCTGTCGACTGAGGTGGTTGAAGAGTACGATGAAGAGGCGAAGAAAGACTCTTTTGAAGGCGACGAGGAAGCCGATGAGAGTGAAGGCGAGCTGATGACCCTATAAGCGTTCGACAGTGCCTTGGGGATGGGGATTGAGATGGAAGGCATGGCAAAGACGGTCGGCTCTGGTGCGGTGAGGAGAGGCGTTGATATGAATGTGATTCATCGTGATGTTTTATAGGTAGGCAGGTGCTGCGGATGACTCGATCTCTTCGAGAGAGCCATGGCAAATTCATGCGTGATCTAGAACAAGGAAGAACAAAGCACGTCAGCACAGCAAATCATGACACGACATCATCACATCAATCCTTGAACCGACGGCTACAATTTGTCTAAATCGCCACTTGTCAACAGGAATCTTAGTCAAAGATTGTGAGCAGTTGAGCACGTTAAGACGAAATGCCGAACAAGGGGCAGTGTACTTACTCAGAGTGTAGTGTCATTCGACTCGCGATAAGCAGCGTCGAAAGTCGCACGACATACGGTTGTGGCTCCACGACGACAATGCTTGAAGTTGACGCCCAGCTCTGACCTGTCGAAACGATTCTGCTTCGAGGTGACCACATAGCCACAGGTCCCTCCACTCTGAATGAGTTGACTGTGCTCAAGACCCTCATCGACCTCCGAAATGGCGCTAGAACTGCTGCCATTCGACATCTTAATCTCTATTCTGAGTTTTCTTGGTCCCAAAGAAATCCTTCATCTCAGAAAGGTGCGTCTTAAACAACTCAAGCTGTTCTGTCACTTCTGACCATCAAGCTAGACGTGCAGAAACCTACATGCAGCCAGCCAAGCACGGACTGTATGGCTCACCTGTCTTCATCACATATGTGCTACACAGGGCATGTTTCTTCCAACGTTCCCTCTAGAGGATATGTCCATCGCACAAATCGAACATGCAGTTCTCTCCCCTTCTCTACTTTCGGCGCGGATAAAGAAAAGTCCGGAGAACCAAGTCGTTTTACCTGCGAGAACACAGGTTCTTGGACCTGGATCTGCTAGCACCAGTTCGGAATCCGGAGAATCAGATCCCCCCGCATGCCTTCAAGTTTGCCTTGTCCCCGGGGGTCGCTATTTATTCGCGAGATTTGCTCAACCCAATGGATTATCTCTGTGGGACCTTGGTTTGAATGCTATGGGACCGGCGGCTTCTTCACCCCTGGCGGTTGTTGAAGGGCCATACGACGGTATTATCAGCACAACACCAACTCCTGATGGCCTTGGGATTCGTTTTTGCACATACTTTAATAGGTGAGTGACCTGTCATTTGCAGTGCTCGCTGATAAAGATCTCGGTTGCAACAGCAGCGGCAATACCAACGTTTCCATTCAAGAATTCTATCCCTCGAAGGCCGAGAAGGGGTTTGAACGACTGGGAGCTCTCGAATTGAAGGGCATTCTTCACATACATTCACATTATATGCAGCTCTTTATTGCCTTGGATCATTTTCAACATGTCACGGTGTGGGATTATCATGAGAACATGTCAACGACTTGGCAATTAGAATCGATCGCACAGGAAGTCAGTGCTCTCTAGCGTTATCTGAACTTCGTCTAACTGTCTTCAAAATCAGGTTCTCATTGTTGGGGAGCAGATCGTTCTCTTTAACGTCGAGGAAATCAGCGTGTGGGAGATACCCCCGTTATCACGACAGGCCAACAACAGCATTCTACACCAAGAAGTCATTCGTCACTCCCCAAGATTCGTGTTCAACCACATTTACGCCGCTCTGACTAGGCACACGGCGTTCTCGGTTCCATCCCCCTGGTGGCCAGCCTCCGCACGCGACTTTTATGTCGGGCTCGTCAATCCGGCACGACAAACCCCCGCAATGTACTTTTACCGATTCGATCAGTCGACACAGCTAGAATACCCATACCGGGACACCAGCAATCCATCTCACGCAGGGAGAGTGCTCTCTCTCCCCGATAATCTTGACTGCAGGACTCTTTTCGGATTACGTCTCTGCGAGAATGATTTTTGTCAGAGGTGGCAGTTGCATACGGATGTTATGATGAGTCTGATCCCGATTCCGAGCTCGAGGGAGGAACGGTACACGGCGATCACGCGTTCGATGTATTCGGGTGATATGATGGATTTTGATTTTTGTTCTGCGTCTGGAAGGTTGGCTGTTGCCACTGCCACAGGTCAGATTCGGATCTTGGATTTCCTTCCTCCCGTCAGATCAGTATGTAAGCTACATTTATGTGCGGTTTCTGTGCTGAAGGATTTTAGGTGTGATGCTTTATCGGCCAGTCTGAGGATGTGGCCGTGAAACTAGGGCATTTCAGTGGTGCATCGGCCTACTTAAAAAGCTAGTATCTCAGCTCTTTGGAATTAGTGGCATTTGATGCTCAACTCGGGGGGAAGTCCACGTTGACATCATCTTTCTCCGCTTCAACTGTTCCAGATGACTGAAAGCGAGCAGAAACTACAAAGTCAGTGAGGTGATATCTGGGAAACCGCTGGGAGACAAGTATTTTGCATGCGGGTGCCAGTCGGAGGACATATGCTGCATGGAAACCGTTAGGATACGTCGGGTCGGCGTTCATCATAATGTTGGGCTTCTGGCAATCACGTTCAAGAAGGTTGAAAGATGAAACTTCATAGGGATGAGTTGCAACAGCTTTAAGGCTGCTGATGCAAAAACTGAGTACGTCAAATATCTGGCGAGAAAGTCGAGGACTTCTCCAATCATTTTGAGAGGTGGATTCATACGATTCGCAGCACAGGCGTGATAAGGATGACTGTCAGCTGGGACTTGAAAAGTTTCACAATTTGGAACGCAGTGATTTCCAAAAAATTTCGATAAAAAGTAGTGTCCACCTACCTTCAACGCGGGTCACCACCATATCTCATCTTCGGCAAGCCCGTTGCGGTTGCGGTTGCAGGCTGGGTTGGGTTCATTCACAGGCATGTGAAGTTTAACGAAAGGGAATTGATCAAGCCAACACTCGTTGTAGGCAGTTGTGTACACAATAAAAAAAACAAAGGTGGGCCGTGCATTAGTCCTGTTTTTACCGCGCCCCCAAAACCGCGTCAGAAAATGTTTATGTAATCTTCGGACTTTGAAACCGCGTCGCGTCAATATTCCCTCGTATCCCTCAACTCTAGACGCGTTTATAGTTCCACAACTCCTCTAAACACTTTAAATCCAGTTTATTTCTTATTTAAAAGTTGCTTTCCATGGAAGAGAAGTCTCGCGCTGTCCGATCATACAAGAAAACGCCCACGAACAGGTTCCCACAACGCCTGACTTCATTTCAGCCTTCCTATCGCAATCTGTAGCAATTTCTGGCGCGGCGCCACCTGTTATACATTCTCCTGAAGCCCTTCCATTCTCATCACTCCCCTCACAAGCACAGTGCACCATCTTCGAGATCGACTCAATCCCACGAGCGTCATGCGCCTTTCTCGCCATCTGTCACTCCTTCCGAAATCCTCCACGCGCGTCCTTCCCTATTCACTTGGGCAATAAATCTTGTCGCCAACCACGTTCATCGATAGATTTTTAATCTTACTAGTAAGGATAATGATGTTCACCTTCGAGCATCAACAAATGGCCGACAGCGTGCAGATCGCGTCAACCTCGTCATCTGGGAAGTTCTCGGAAAATTCAGTATTGCTGGACTTTCTGAGAAATACAAGACTCGTTCGCCTGTTTCTTGGTATCTAACTGAATCAATGACCGCATCCCGCAGACCTTGCGATGGTTTTGGGTATTTGGCATTTTGCAGCCAAATCCCATGTCAATGTCAAGCGTGTTTACAGCCGATTCGGAAATATCGTTAGCGACACAACCGCACGCAAGGCTCTCGACTATATGACAGGTTCAAGCCTTGCTACTGTACAAGCCTCCGTCAAGGCTGCGACTGAACGAGGAGAGACGGAGTGGTGCATCAGAGTGTTGATCGTATCAGGTCCTTGAGGGTCCTGCCAGCGGGGTTGTTGAGCCATAACTGAGTCGTCATAACGAATTTTAAATCAGCCAAGATGTATAATATCAAGTTTGACGTGTATTGGGATGGAAACGCATGAGCTATCGCGTCGAGAGCAAACGGCAAGCACGCGATATTGACGCGACGAGGTTTCAAAGTCCGAAGATTACATAAACTTTTTCTGACGCGGTTTTGGGGGCGTGGTAAATAACAGACTTCATATTATCGTGAACAAAGGTACGACTTCACATAATATCGAAGTCTGTCTAGGAGAGACTAGCCGTGCATCCATGGAACGGAATTTGGGCAGAGCCAAGATGATTCAGAAAGCATAGATCACGAAGTGATACTGCTTAGGAGGTGCGCACCGTCAGCGTCGTCATTGTCAGTAAGGACAGAATACCCTTGGAATAAGTAACCTACAGTGTTTTGCATGTGAGATTGGAATTCAAATCTCACGAAAACTTGTTTGTTCTTGTGGTCTGTGACTGATGGGAGTCAACGTTCAACATTCAATCATCGACGTAAATGCGGGTTCCAAGCAAGTTCCAAGGGAGGGGACTCCTCCACTTGAAGAAAAAAAGGATCTAGTCGGAAGACTAGATCCTTTATCGGCTACCCGTGACCTTCACTAAGAGCGCTCTGGCAGAGGAAGTTCAACGTTCAACGCTGTGACACCGAGGAAGGCAACATCACACATTACAACTAATACAAGAACAAACAACTTTTCGTGAGATTTGGATTCCAATCTCACATGCAAAACACTGTAACCGAGAGTAGAAGTTGAGTAGAAGGGAGAGAATGCGATTTGGCGGAAGTAAGAACAGATCACATGACTATCTAACGTTAACGTCCATCTCCCTGGCCCACAGTGGCACTCATGGAGGGCATGTCAGCCACTGGGGTAGACCAGTCTACAGAGTCCACAGAGAAGGCACAGGCACCTAGTCTCTCCTAGACAGACTTCGATACATGTGAAGTCGTACCTTGGTTCACGATGTATGAAGTCTGTTTGTTACCACGCCCTCCGAACCGCGTCAGAAAATGCTTATGTAAAGTGCGGACTTTGAAACCGTGTCGCGTCAATATTACCTCCTTGCCGTTTTGCTCTCGACGCGATAGCCCGAGCATTTCTACCCTAATACACGTCAAACTTGATACTCTACATCCTGACTGATTTCTGATTCGTTATGATGACTTAATGATGGCTCGACAACCCCACTGGCAGGTCCCTGAAGGACTTCAAGACACAATTGTCAAGAAACTCATACCACATTAGACGAATGGATCGCGTGTGGTCCAACTGGAGCTCGTTTCTGCCATTCTGGATGGAGAGAGCATGCTGTGCTATACTGCCACTGGCAACGGAAAATCATGTTCTCGGTCCCGGCTCTTGTGCTTTTGGAGTATAACGAACGCTCGAAGGCGTATATAGCTGGGCTTCCAACTCGGAAGCAGCCAATCGGGGTCGTAATCACACCAAAAAAGGGGCTGGCTGATAACATTGTATGTCTATCAGTGATCTTCCTCGTTCTACTGATGAGTTTTGGCCTAGGTTCATGAACGTCAAGACAGAAAATCTCTGCATTCTCGTATTGCAAAGAGACTTTGAGCACCGCACGGATGGCTGGGATCTGTTTAGCAGGTGAAATCAAGGAGTGTGCATCGACGAGGTCCATCTGATCAATGAATGGGGTCTTTCTTTTCGTCTAGCCTTTGGGACCATCGGATCTTTTCTACGCGGTTGCTTTCCCTGTTTGATATCTTAGCAACGGCACGTTCCAAGAGCCTCGAGGATCTGATTCCCCAGAGAGGTGGCTGGGAAATCTTTAAAAAGTCGCCAACAGAGTCGAATCCCGAGTCCTTTAAAAACATTTCCATTCTCTCAAACTTGAATATCAGCTTCCGCGCGCAATCCGCGCGTCGCTTTGGGAGGTTTGATCAGTCGAGGTTGGCTCGAAGATCCACCAAGGGAGCTCAAATTGTTAAATGGGGAGCCGGAAAATGGAGGTGTAGTAGGTGACGACCCATGTTGGTCATTTTGAGATGTTGGAAGAAGGGAACTCGATGAAGATGGCAGGAAGGGTGTGATGAATGCCGAAGTTTCGGGTATTTCAAGGATTGGTTCTAATTTCTTGTAGGATCTGACAGTTTGAACATTGCTATACATTAATGTTGAGGTCATAATGAAATATGAATGAAATTTGTGATGGCAGATAGTGTTGAAAAGTTTCAAACGCGTCGAGAGTTATGAGGAGGTTCCTCGAAATTGACGTGACGCGGTTTTAAAGTCCGCACTTCACATAAGCATTTTCTGACGCGGTTCGGAGGGCGCGGTAAAAACAGGACTAACAGGCACCAGGGTCCAGCTCTCTCATCTTTACTAACCCCTGATTTGACACACTCCGGAATTCTCCGGTCTTCTCCCTCGTTGTACGCCACGTCGCCAAAACACTTCCAGCACCGTTTGGTGTCATCGGCTTCAACCTAGCAGGGTATCTTTACCTCAATTACAAATTGAAGAAAATTTGGAAATAATATATTTGAGTTCTAGCTATGAGTTGCTGAAGAGTGCGCCAAATTAGAGCCACAAAGAAAAGATTTACTCAAGCTCATCGTTGGAAACGGCGAGCAGCAAACAACGATGAGGAAACTTCGATGTTAACAGCTAACGAGGTATCGATAGACCAGGATTCAAAACGCTCCACTTAGTGACTTTGTTTACTTGTGGAGTCTCAGGGTACGTGCAAACAACCTAACCAGGAATTTATCACTATATACGCAACAGCGGGAAGGGGCGGGAAGGCAATGCGCGCCAATTGGCTGTGGGAAGTTGTTTGGCCAGCTCCAAAAGTAAATAAAGTCACTAAGCGGAGCGTTTGGAGTTCTGGTCTATCGATACCTCGTTAGCTGAAATTTGGCGTGACAAACGGATACCGCCCTGAGCGGACACTTAAATCTACGTTATGTAAGCTGATGGCTCTTGCTACGTCTCAAGCTGCGAGCTGTGCTCATTTTTGAATGGCCCTGTTAGGTCAACCAAAATACACCAGTAGCATTTTATTACGAGGATGGGTGGAAAAAGGCGGGCCAAGGTGCAACAAAGATGGGCGGAAGAAGGCGCGACAAAGGTGGGCGGGTTCAGGGACGTGGCTAAATAACACGGTCCGTGATTGATGAGCTGTTTGACATGAGGGTGGAAAGTCGGAAAAGGCCGAGTCCACCATCAGTCTACGTAGAACGGTCTACCCCAGTGGATGCGAAGCTCTGCACTCATCATGCTAGAGAAACCTACTGAAGATGGTCATGATCTCCGTCTTCCTATCCTTTCAACGGACGTCCTAATTCAAATTCAAAGCTTTCTGGACCCAAAGGACATTCTTTCCCTGCGCAAGGTGCTGATTGTTACTTGAACCATTGAAATACACAACTTTAACCGCCATCTTCAAGACATCCAGAGTGTTATATGCAACTTCAAAGATACGCATAGTATGGATCAACGCATTGCAACGAGTATGTTATACGGATGGGATCAGCCTGTCTACTTTTCATCCCATTGAGAATCTATCCCCAATCGAGCTTGAGAACGCTGCATTCTCCCCCTTTCGATTTGTCAACCGGCTGGATGCCAGTATTACAGCTGGCGAAAATATAAGACCTTTGACGACTCGTGTTCTTGTGCCCGATTTATTGCCACTCACTCCGACGGAAAGCATGGACATCCCGTTCGATTGCTATTCGATTTTCCTCGTTCCGGGGGGTCGCTTCATGTTGGCTGATACGGCTGACCATGGATTGTGCCTTTGGGACCTTGGGATTCATCCAGGATCGCCAATAAATCAATCTCCTTTGGCCGTGCTTCACAAAGCAAGCGGGGAGTTGACCAGGTTCACCTCTCCCACACCTGACGCTCACGGAGTTTATATATGCATAGCGGGAGAGACGTAAGCATCTCCATTACTTTTCTGGAAAACATTTCAACAGGATGGCAGGAACCTAAATACAGAACGTACTTGCTTAACAATTCATGAAATATACCCATCATCTCCGGACGTCACGTTTCGCCCAACTCATTCCTTGAAGGTCAAGGGAGAAGTCGACTGTATATATATCTACCGAAATGTTCTGGCCTGCAACCACAATAACAATCAAGTCACAGTTTGGAATTTCATGCAGAACAAGGGAGTTAGCTGGGAATACGCTAACGAAATAACCGATGTTGGTACTCTACCACAGATCAACTCCTCCAACGTAAATGATCTGACAAATGTCCCTGTAGCTTTTTATCGTCGCCGACTCCTTGATTCTCTTCGAAGACGAGGTTTTCACCGTCTGGGACATCCACGACTCATTCTATCTGGCCAATGATGAAATAAGCGGTGTTCCGCTTATCCAACATCTTCCTATATTGAACCGTTTCCACAGTGATCTTGGGCAGAACGGACTAACCCTTCTGTCTCCTCCTAGCCAATGGGTTTCTCCAGGATGCAGACTCCCTTTCTTTGGGTTATGCACCCATTTCCAAGGGGAAGCTCCTACCATGCAATCCTATACCTTCGAGTCCATTGATTCACCCCACAATTCACAACCCCAGCGGTTTGATCTACTGCTAACAGATACTGTAGATTCTCTACCACTTTCAATTATCGAGACGGAGGAATATCTTCGACATCTACGATCTTGCGACCAGTATCTTATCATAGCATGGCTCGACGATAGCTACGTCACTCTCAACCTTATGCATACGCCAGTCCGAGTTGGCCCGCGCAAGCATGTTCCTCCCAAAACTCGATACCTGGAATTCCAGAGTGACCACTCCGAGGTTATTGCGGTCAATGATTTTGATTTCTGCCCAGCATTTGGTCGACTTGTTTTAACGACAGAATCTGGAGATATTCGAATCATGGATTATCTGAGTCCTCCGGTGTCTAAATCTCCGTGTCAGCATCCACTCTTTTCTGTATTTGGACCATTTCTGACGTTAATTCTTCAATAGCCATCAATGATCATTAACAAAGTTTATATGCTACCCCTCCTGGAGAAGTCAGAGTGTCATAGAGGAACCAGAGCTGTCCGAGCTGTCTTTTCTCTATCTATAGTACTAATCATCAGCTTCATTATGAATCGATTCTAGAAATTTTTCTTCACGTCAAACTCTATGAGCTCATTTGCTACCACCATCTATGAAAAACAAACTGGATGCCAAATGCCATTAAATCAGAATATATCTCGTGAAGCAACTCTGAACTTGCTCTGAATCAGAACAGGGATTGCACTCGACTTTGTATCACGTGTCTCGCATTCCATTGATCTCAGCAGCTGCTGACGCTCAACGAGATTGGACTGATAACCAATGTAGCGCGCCTGGGGGCGCAAAGCCCGCTACGGGTTTTGTCAAGCTTATCCCAAACTATAACTAATGTTGGGATGTGTGGCTTCATATATATTGTAAGTTTGCAGTAAGTCTAATCAGCGAGAAGGGTAAGTAAAAGCGTTTTTAGGGTCGTGTTACTTGTTTGATGCAAGAAACTGCCAAGGTTTGCCATTTGAATAAGCAGATGGGACTCCCATCAACAGGGAGTCAATCAATGATATTGGTCACTGACCATGGGCCACAAATTAAACCGTGGACGCACACGTATGGACAGCCGGACAACACAAAGTGAGGACGACAAATATAAACTTTCTGACGTCCCACCCCTACTCCAAAAAAGAACTCCGAGAATGCGGTAGCTTGCATAGTGTGGTAAAAGGAGAATCTAGACTTTACTACAAAAAAGGACACTTTTATATGAGAATACGAAACAGCACCTATATATACACCCTTTAATTTAAAACGAGGTGATATGAACCACATTTTTTGTAGTGTCGGCTACAGTAACAGAACAACGATGCTTGATGAAGAAAGAACAACGACCAAATCAGGCCCAAAAATTATGAGGGAGGCCATATGGACTGTAGTAAAATAAATTGCCTTCTTTCGACATGTATCGACTACGACAACAATGATGCTCAACGAATAAAAAAAGAGAACAACGAGCAAACTGGGCCGAGCCAGAGAAGGAGTTAAGAACAACGTGACGAGAAAAATGGTCAGGTGACGACTAACGGAGCAAAGATGGAGTAACGTGATGAGGAAGATGGTCAGGTGACGTTCGCACGATCCTTGAGTGGCGAAGGACGAGAAAACCCACTACTTACGTAGCGGGCATCAACACGCTAGAAATCGGCGATGTCCAAGGGACCTGCCCCCGATCTTCGACGATCACATACCGCGTCCAGATATGCCCAGCCCTGTCTTTCCACGCTTCCCCCTGACGTCTTAATCCAAATTCAAACTTTTCTGGACCCAGACGACATCATCTCTCTTCGCAAGGTATCGATCATCCTATTTCCAGAATGTTCAACACTAACGGTTTCCTTATCATCTATCTTTGAGACCTCTCAAGCGTTGTGCACCGTCACAAACTTGCGAATTGTGTGGATCAACGCCTTGCGCCAAGTGTGTTTGATGCACGGCATAAATCTGTCCACGTTCTACCCACTTGAAAATATTTCGCAAATCGAACTTGAACATGCCGCCTTCTCGCCTTTTAGATTTATAAAATATGCAAGAGATGATATCCCATTCGAAGGGGATATCAAATCCGTTGTCACTCGCATCCTTGAGCCTCGATTGCCGCCCGTCTTTTCCACGGACGAGAACGTACCCTTCAGTTGCCACGCTGTTTTGCTCATTCCGGGTGGTCGGTTCCTGTTTACTGATACGATTCAACACGGCGTCGCCCTTTGGGACCTCGGAATTCATGCAGGAATCCCAATGAAACTGTCCCCTCTAGCGGTGCTTCCGACAACCACGGAATCCTTTGTCAGATTCACCAGCCCCACTCCGGATAGTCATGGAGTCTACGTTTGTATTGAAGAACAGGTGTAAGCATCTCGCCAGTTTGTTAAAAAATTCTTTTATGTACGTCCCACACAAATCATAGGAACTTGAACATGAACACCCGCATGTCGATCTACGAAATATACCCATCCTCTCCGGACGTAGCTTTTCGTCTTACACATTCCTTGAAGGTCACAGGAACACTTGATAATGCATACATCTACAGAAACACACTGGCCTGCAATCATCCTAATAATCTCATCACGGTCTGGGATTTTATCCAAAACAAGGCAATCAGTTGGGAGTACGATGTAGTACTTCGACCGAATGGTGTCAGTGACTCTCCAGGGATCCATCACTCTATTTATTGACTACTTATTTTTTTACAAGGTTATACTCTTTAACGACACCCTCCTTCTCGTTGAAGTCGGGAGATTGACCGTCTGGGATGTGCCTAGCTCATTGTATCTGCCGGTCTCGGACGATGTGGAGGCTGCGTTCATCCGGCTCCTTCCCAGATTGGAAATTCGTACACCATCGCCAGCTGAACCCTTTCGAGTTTCTCCTCCTAGTCATTGGCTTTCTGCAGGACAGTCGAGAATCCCTTTCTTTGGATTGTGCAGCCCGACGCTCGACCTACAAGGGGAGGAAATCGTCGATGATTACTATACTGCTATGCGATGCTACACCTTCAAGTCTGTTTCAAGCCTTCCCGATAACCCAGACTTGCAGGTGTTTGATCCACAACACGTGGGCGTCGTGAACTCTTTTCACCTTTCGACGTTGTCCGAGGACTTTCTACGACATATACGGTTTTGTGACACGTCGCTTACCATAGCGTGGCAGGTTGGTGACGACGTAAATATTGGCATCATGAAGATGCCACAGGGTGATCCGGACAGTGTGGCCACCCCCGCCATTCGACGTCTTTTCAATGGGGAGGAGGTCGAGCTAAGGGATTTCGACTTTTGTCCAGCAGCGGGTCGATTGGTTGTCACAACGGCAGCTGGTGATATTCAAATTATGGATTTTCTTACTCCCCCTTCCCCCGTAAGCGTCTAATGCTTTCAACGTCATTTATCCAAAGTGACTGTGCTTGCACCTTGATAATAGACACGAATGAACTTCAAAAATTCAGCTGAGGATCACTCGAAAATTATAAGCGAAATTTGATGGATTATCTGAGTCCTCCCGTGTCAGGATCTCTCCGTCAGCGTCAAGTCTTTTCGGTATTTGCACCATATGCCATCAATGATCGATACGATCATTCAAGTTAGCAAAGTTTAAAGGCTACCCCTTCTGGAGAAGTCAGAGTGTCAAAGAGGAACCAGAGCAGTCCGAGATGTCTTTTTCTCTATCTACTAGTCAAGACTAGTCTACCGTTGCCGACAAGGACATGGTCTGCCTTTGCTTCGGACCTTCGACTTCCTTGCCTTTCTCGTTTGATGGGGTCCCCGTTACCGTCACAGATAGACATGCTGTTTATGTAATCACGTGACCTAATGTGTCGCGTCGCGTCTGCTCACTTCCCCCTCCAACCACCCCCGCCGCTTCGTCCACTGCGGGCGTCTTGCTCAAAATTGAACAGTTTTTATTTACATGGTTAATTTTGTATCACAAAACCTGTAATTTCTGTCCTTGTGTGAACATCTTAGCTGTTGCACATAGGTAGCTGACACTGTTTTTCTGGAATGTGCATGTAAATACTTAAGGTCTGGAGAATTCTCAATACTCGCCACTTCACAATAATGTCACAGCCATACACACATACCACATCATTTGGACACTCTGAGGCCTGTTTAATTGGTTTGTCCCAACTCACAAGTCACATAATAGTGACTCTGCGCGTGCCGAGCATTACCACAGCGCCCTAGTTTGTCCCCAAATCCAATCGGATATGCGTGTCCTACAATTAACTGTAATTCAAAATAAGGATTGTGAGGGACGTGCAATAAAGAAGTGAAATAGGGATTTTTTAAAAATAATGTTGATTAACCAGGATCTTCAGAATCAATCTGCATTTGAGATTCAGTCATCCCGTTTGAACCTCGGCACACGACACCTATAAACAAAATATTGCGTGAAGTCTAGTGTTTGAAAGTCCGGTTCGGTCCAGGCTCCTAAAAGCAGCCACTCGTCTCGCTCGATGAGCCTCTAATACTATTAGCTGTATGACTAATCTTATGATGTGATCATTGATGGGAGTGAACAAATAAACAAAGGTAAGGGCTCGAGCTCGCGAGAGAGCGGCTGCCGGAAAAGTCAGTCGGGAAACTCCGAGACCATTGATTAACCCTAACGTTGGGTCTCAAATCTGTAAGGAGCCAGCGCGTCACATTTTGGTCACGATATGCTCGAGTGGAGCGCACACTGGCGCACAGTGTCGAGAATAGTGTCCAGGTCCTCGATAATCGACAAGTGTGAATGGATGGCCTTCAAAAATGTTTTTCAATAGAATTTCGTAAAGAAATTGGTGGGCTGTGATCTCTGAATCCTCAAAGGCCTTCACTCAAAGGCCTTCATAGATCTTACTTCATTGAGGTATTGTAGATTTGCCATTGGGTAGTTGGCAAACTGGAATCCCGGGCCCTTATGTAGAATACAATACTGCTTTGAACCTTATGCAGGTCTTGTGTATAGACTGGTACATA